CACACCCAGAGATGCTCAGGCGTTACTCCTGGCTCTGCACTCAGGAATCACTCATGATGGGATGCAAGGAATCCAACCAGTGTCGGCTGCACGCAAAACAAGGTTGCTACCCACTGTCCTATCTCTCCAGCCCCCAAAATTATATCACTCTGTACCTGATATCTTACAAACATTTCACGTAAGACATCCTAGAAACATTTCCATGGCATCAAAGTTTCTGTGACAACATCACATTCAGACATTGAATTGCACCCTATTGGGCTGTTTTTCCTGGTTTCTATATTCAATCCCCTTCAGAGAGACACCACAGTTGTTTCCAAAGTTGTCGTCATTCTAAATAATACAGTGATGCACATTCTCATGACTAAATCTCTGCACATATCAATTATTCTCCTAGGACAAGTTAGAAGTGGAGCTCTTTGCTATAGGGGCTACACATATTTAAGGCTTTGGGCGACATTTTCTTTCTTTCTTTCTTTCTTTCTTTCTTACCTTCCTTCCTTCTTTTTGTTTTTTTGGTTTTGGGACCACACCAGGCGATGCTCAGGGCTGACTCTTGATTCTGTGCTTAGGGATCACTCCTGGTGGGCTCAGGTGCCATATGGGGTGCCAGGGATCAAACCCAGCATGCAAGGTAAGTGCCCAACCTGCTGTGCTATTGTTCCAGCCCAGGGTGGCATTTTCTGACCCTAGAGGGACTCTACCAGGGGATGCTTCAGGAACCTTCTAAAGGAGTTTTCAGTCCTGTAGGAGGAGATTGGCAGGGGACACGATTAGGGGTGCAGTGGAGGGCAGCTACCTGGCTGTGAAGATTGTCAAACACTGGAAAGTTCTCTATGGGACTCGGTGGGGGACCGTTCTCGGCCTCTCTGCAGCCCCTCCCCACCAACATTCAGAAGGGCGCAGACATCAGCAAACCCCTTCTAAGCTGGCATCCAGTACCCCAAGATCCAGCCAGCTGCGCCCTGCCCAGAGTTCTGCCCTATAGCCCTGAGCCCCCAGAAGGGGCTTCCAAAGACCCACCACAGGGGTCCAGCACCCCTGCTCCCGCCTTATGGGAGGTGAGAGGGGGAACCTTGGCAGCCCACCCCATGTCCAGCACCCCTGCCCTCACCTCCCAGACTCAAAGGAAGACCCCCCCTCTCAAAGGAGAGGTCTGTGGGGGAGGTGGGTGTTGGATAGGGGCCGTGCACAGAGGCTGGGATGACTCACCCGCCACCAGCGGGTAAAGGGTGAGGGATGAATGGATGGCAGCGCCGAGGGCGGGGCCTCGACTCGCCCGCGTCAGTTTCTTCCACATCTGCAGTGCGTGGGGCTGAGCCATCCCGCTGGGGGCTGGGGGGAGGCAGGGCCGAGGCTGGCTGACGTTCGCTTCCCGCCTGCTGGGTCGGCCCGGAGCAGTTCATGAATGACTCACCTCATTGTCAGGCTGATTCAGTGCTCGCCTGGGGACCTGGGTGGGGGGAGAAGAGGGGAGGAGAAGCGGCTGCAGCCCCCTTAGTACGCAGGCCCGGCGGCGAGAGGCTCCTCCTCTATTTATTGGGGGGGAGGGGGAGAGTTGGGGGTGGGTCCGGAAGGGAATAAACGAGGAGGGGATCCACACCCAGCTTGTTCATTGAAGAGCCAAATTTGAGGTTCCAGTCCAGCCTACCTGTAGTTAGTTGCAGTCCAATGAGAGGCAAGCCTCAGTGCCTCAGTCTCTCTAGCCAAATTTCAAGCCGTCCATGGGCGCCCTTGGGCTCCTGGCATCCCTCTCTCTGCAGATAGGGCGACAAGATAAACTCTGGATCTTCCCAAGTTCTACCCCACAGTTCTGGTCTCACCCAGACTCTCGGCATGTGAGCAGCCCACAACGCCTTCTGCGGGGCGGCACCCCGCCTCCCACCCGCTCTGTGGGTGCAGTTCCAGGGGCCCCACGGTCCACACCGAGGCAAAGGCGCACAGAAGCGCGCGCACACCAGCACACCGCAGCGCCAGCCAGGCGCATGCAACTGCTCATTCCGGAGAAACACAAATTCCTGCGAAAGCATTTCGTGAATACACTGAAATAGATCCAAACTCAAGCCATGTGGCTCCCATCACCAATCTCAGCACATGTTTGCAAACTCAAGTAGGGGGGAAGGGAATCCACATTGTTGAGCCCCTGCCAACATGCCAGGCGTCGAGTTAGCCATTTCCGTGGATTAATGCACTTATATCCCGGCAAACCCTGTCAGCAGGATGATCTTTGACTGCAGCTTCGGAGATCCAGTGAAGGATGCTCAGAGAGGGAAAGTCACCTGTTTGATGCCACACAGCCAGATGGCGGCATGGTGAATGTGAACTGATCTTTGCCCCAGACGTGGGAGGACAAAAGCACAGAAGAATCATCGGCACCCTCTTGACAGAAGGCATCAGGGCCTGGAAATACTGAGACTATTATGTATGAAGTCAGGTGGGAAGGAGAGATAGCTAGGAAGTCGGGCACTTCCCTTGCATGTGGCCCGCCCAGGTTCCATCCCTGGCACTGCATAGTCCCCTGAGCACCACCAGGAGTGATCCCTAAGCATAGAGGCATGAGTAGCCCCTGAGCACCAGCAGGAGCGGCCCAACTGCCCACTCCAAATCAATTACTCAGGGTGCTCTTGAGACGCCCTGCTTCCCAGCCAGAATTCAGGAGTCTTCTGGAGGGGGTCCTCTGGCCCAGGTCCCAGCACCCACTTTTCCCTATCAGAAAGGTAACCCCATTAATCCTGCTTCTGCGGGGAAGGAGGAGGACCTGGTGCATCACCAGGAGCACATGGGCCTTGCTTTTGCCTGCCTTTGCCTTCAGAGAGCAGGTCCGGGATGGCAAAGACATCTGCTTGGGAAGGGGTGCCGATGACCCTCCCCCCCAGCATGAGGGTCCTTTCCAACTCTCAAATCACAGATAACCACCTCCCCAGGGCCTGCCGTCCCCTCTGCAGATTGTTGCACCCACATTTTCCACTTGTTCCAGTCTGGACCCCACCCCACCCAGGTTCCAGCACGAGGCTGAGGTCTGGAGTTCATTTCTCCTTGCAAGATTACAGTAGGGAGGAAGTACAGGCTTGGGACTGGAGTGACACTATGGTGGGTAGTTCCATGTGGCCTGCCAGGGTTCAATCCCTGACACCAATATGGTATCCCAAACCCATCAGAAGTAAGCTCTGAGCACTGCTGGTGTAGCCCCCAAATTAAAAAAAGAAAGACACGGGATTTCCTCACAGATCACCACTGAGTGTTGGGCTGTGTGAGCCCAGAAACTGCTTTACTCCAGGGGCCTCCGTTCCCTAATTCATAAAGTCATGCCTCACCCCTCACCCTCTGTGAGATCTTTGTGCAGATAAAATGGGCTATGGTTCAAATGGGAAGCTGAAAACTATAGTGGAGCTGGAACTTCTTATTCCTCTTGGCCTTGGGCTCCCTGGTCTCCCTGCGGCTGGAGCTGACAGCCCGATCTGGGTCTCCTGACCTGTCCACAGTTGGGCAGGATGGAAGGTGAGGGTGGACCTGTAAACAGGAGAGTTGGGGTTTTGTTCCCCAGCTTCAAAGCATAGAGGCCTTAAGGGAGTTCCTAACTGCAGTGAGAGTGAAGGTTCCCTATCTGTTCACTATTCTCCCCTCCCTTCTGATGCAGAACTGGCAAATGGGTCCACAGGCAGCTATGAAGAGTTAGGGCTGTGGAGAGGTGAGCTCAGAACATCCTCCCAAAGAGCCAGGGCTGATTTCGACTAGCTCGCTTGCTCATAAAAACTGAGTCAGGGACTGAGGATATGGCTCTATGGGGTGACTGTGCATTTTGCATGTGGGAAGTGGAATTCAGTGCCAACATGACACAGTTCCCTGGGGACCCCCAGGTCTGGTCAAACACTCACTCCCCTCCTCAAAAAATAAAATGAAGTTAGCTATTTTCCTCCTGCCTTTGGGTGTTCAAAAATCACAGCAAGGTACTGGAGAGATAGTTCAGGGGCTAAGGTGCTTGCTTTGCATTTGGCTAACCCTGGTTTGATCCCTGGAACCATGTATGATTCCCCAAGTATCGCCAGGTGTGATGACCTTGAGCACAGAGCCAGGAATAACCCCTGATTACAGCTAGGTATGCAAACCCACCACCACTGCCACTAAACACACACAAATGCAACCAGAACTGCCACCGACTAGTGACAAATCAGGAGGAAAACTGAGGTAAGACTGAAAGTCTCACAACAGGCTTTAGTGAGAAAAAAGTCTTCCCAGCTCACTGGACCCCTGACCATCTTTCTGCCCAGCTCTCCTGGACTCATCTTTTGATCTGCCTCTCCCTGACTTGTCTGTGAACTGAAGGGCACAAGGAGTTTCATTCATTTCTTTATCCCCAGGGTCGAGCACTGGGTCCAAGACATAGCCAGCATTGTGTCATTCATTCAATAACCCTATTGAGCATTGTGCCCAGTGCTGAGGCTACAATGCTGAACAAGCCAGGAAAGGTCCCTGCCCTCACCGAGCTCATATTCTAACGAGGAAGACACACAATAAAAAAGTAAAGCACAACAATTACGCATTATGAAAAGTGCTGAGAAGGGAAACGGGTTGTCCTGGGGGAGGGGTTGTGACTTGAAAGAATAGATCTGCGATCTAAACTGAAACATGCAGGCAAGAGTCAGATCAGAACATGTTAAGGCTGGATGGATTGATGGATGCATGAACAGCGGAACGTACAAGCCAGTAGTGTGGATTCTGGTGTGAGCGAGAGGCGCGATCTAACACCCAACCCCTAGAGTGCTTTGGCACAGGAAGGCAGGGTGACCAGGGCTGGGCATCAAGTGTCCAACCAAGGTTTCCTTACTTTTCCTGGAAAGGGAAGACCTGAGAACCCGTGGGGCCGCTGGGGGGCGACCGAGAGCTTGTCCATTCCCCTTTAAGGCCGAAGCGGAAGCGGGGGGGAGGGAGGAATGCAGGCCCTTTGTGTCGGCGGGATAGAAACAGGACCGGCCCTTTAAGAGGGCGGAGACGCAGGAATGGCGGCGGCTTCGAATGCGGCCTAGGGCGCGGGTGTCCGGCTTTCTGGTGGCCGTTCCTCGCCCGCCCGCTCGCTCTCCGAGACTCCGCTCTCTGGCCTCGCTCCGGGACGCTGTCGCTCGGCCTGAGACCTTCCCGTCCCCGCCAGATCCGAGGCGGCCGCAGCTGGCGAACTGGGGGCGGCCGAGCCCCGCCGTGGTCGCCATGGTAACGTCTCCATATCCCCCCCCCCCCCCCGCGGAGACCCTCGCCCGGGATCCGCCGGCCCAGGCTGCTGGGCACGACGCGGGGGGAGCCTGGGGAGGTTCAGTGCACCCACCTCCCACTGGGCCTCAGTTTCCCTCCTGACACCTTCCACGCTTTCCTGGCCCACTCCGCCTTCCCCCTCCAGGTGCGCTTGAGCATCCCCAGGCCCGCGCCTGCCCCGGGTCCTTTCTGATCTCCGAGGATTTTTTGTTTTGTTTTGCTTTGGCTTTTTGGGTCCACCAGACCATGCTCAGGGGTTCCTCCTGGCTCTGCAGTCAGGAATTAACTCCTGGCGGTGTTCGGCGGGGACCATATGGGATGCTGGGGATGGAACCCGGGTCGGAGGCGCAAAACGCCCTACCCGCTGGACTATCGCTCCAAGCCGACCTTTCTGATCTTTGGGTGGGGGTGGGGGGGTCGGACCCTCGCTGCAACCCTGCAATCCTGTAGCCCAGCGGTCCCTCACCGCAGTCGCAGTCCTACGTAGGAGGCACTGCACAGGGTACCAGCCACCAGGGAACCTGGTTACTGGTTCCGGGATTGGCCAGAGAAAAACCTCGCTTGGCTTTTCCCCAGTGCTGTGCATTCTTGACTTTATCGTAGTTTCTGTCTCTGTGTCTCCTTTTATCTGGAGGGGGGCAGTGCTGGTGCATACCCTGAGCACCCCTGGTTCTGCTCTCAGGGATCACTCCTGGCAGGCCTTGGGCAACCGGATGGGGTGCCAGGGACCTAACCCAGGTGACTTGTGTGCAAGACAAGTGCTTACCCTCTCTGCCTTACTTCTCCGACCAAATGGTGTTCCTTTTGGTTCCTGTGTGATGCTCGATGCTTAGTGGTGTTGCAGAGTCCTTAGGCCTCGTGAGCTGTGTGCCCTGTGTAGAGAATGCCCCAGGACCTCTGGAGCGTTGTTTCTGCGCCCCCACCCCCCACCCCAGGGTGAATGTCATGGATTTGTGTGGATTTGTGTTTAGGAGACAGGATTCTAAGTAGGGTTTTTTTTTTTCTGTCCTCATCCTTATTTCTCCCCCCAACATTAGCAAGAAAACAAACAGAAAACAGTACACCTGCTGGCCCGTCAGAGTAGGAAAGCAGCGCGGTGAGGACACAATGTACTTGCAAACAGAGTTCTCCAAGCTCTACTGCTTTGTTTTCCTTTCAGGCATGCAGTCTGCAGAAGCTCTTTGCTGTGGGAGAAGAGTTTGAAGACGAGGTAAGGAGGTGTTGGTGACAGGGCTGGCAGAGGGGGCCCTGGGCACTTGGGCGCGGCCCACTCCTGCTCTTTCACGTGACATAATAGGTTGATGTAATGATGTAAACATGCACACACATTTTTTTTTTCTGTGAGAGGCTGAGAAATGCAAAAAAGCTTGTGGAACTGTTTTAAAAACAGGCCAGAGATAGTGTAATGGGTACAGCGCTTACCTTGCACATGGCCCACCAGTGTTTAATTCCTGGCATCTCATACGGTCCCCCAGGCCCCGCCAGGAGTGATGTCTGAGCACAGAGCCAGGAGTAACCCCTGAGCACCTCAAGATGTGGCCTAAAATACCAACAACAGCAACAAACCAAGTAAACAGGAAGCCAGAGCTCTGAGCTACCTGATTTGTCATCCCTTCGCAAGCTTGAGGGCCCTTGCCTGGCAGTTGAATTCACCTGTGTGCTGTCTGGCCTGCGTGGGGAAGAGAGTTTGTGCCCACCCAGCACAGCCACCCTGGAGGCCTGGGTCACCCGCTGGCTCCTAAGTTTATTCTCTGGCCTTCTGTTATTTTCCCTTCTGCAGTCTGAGGGCCGTTCTTCCTGTCTCTGGTCAACTTTGCTTCCTACCCTCTCAGAGAAGTTGCACCAGACCTGGAGCTCTTCCCTTAAAACAACCCCTGCTGATCCTGACACGTGCTGCTTTCTTTCCTAATTTTTTGGTGTCAGGGAGCGAACTCAGGGCCTGACAAATGCCAGGCAAGTGCTTTCCTGCAAAGTCACGCCCCCAGCCCCTCTCTTACTTCTGGACAGGAATTTCTCACCTCTGGGCCAGCCAGTGACCACTGAACTAGCAGTCTCACCGTGGTCTTCCTGCTCAGACCCACCACAGAAAACCCAAATCATGCTACCGCAGCTCCTCTTCAGAAAGGGCAGGTAGGATTTCAGTGAGGAAAGCCCCGAGGTAGCCATTTCACGCATCCATCCTTTCGTTCCCCTTCCCCTCCCCTTGGGGGGAGGGGGGGTCTCAGGCATGCTTGATTGTGAGCCCCCTGGGAATTGAGGTGCTCACACCTTGTTTACTGGGGGTCGCGCTTTCACTTTTATAAAATTTTGGGCCATACCTGGCGGTGCTTAGGCTTACTCCTGGCTCTGCGCTCAGGAATCACTCCCGATGGTGCTCAGGAAACGTATGTGGTTCCATCCAGGGATGAAACCCATGTCAGTCCTGTGCAAGGCCAGAGCCCTAAACTCTGCACTGCCTCTAGCCTAGGAGTCAGGTTGGTGGCAGTTTGGAAAGATTTAAGGTTAATCTGGTTGAGGTTTGCCGAACCAGTTGAGGAGATAAGAATGCAGGGAACAGGGGATGAGCTTTTGTTTCTTGGGGAAGGGGGGCCCACACCTGGCTGTACTCAGGGCTTACTCCTGGCCCCATGCTTAGGGATCACTCCTGCTGGGGCTCAGGGGCCTATATAGGCTGCCGGGGATCACGCCGGGATCAGCTGCATGCACGGCAAGTACCTTACACCTATGCTCTCTCTCCAGCCCCAGCTTTTCGTTTCTGGCTGGTGGTGCTCTGGGGTTACTTCTGTCTCTGCACTCAGGACTTACTCCTGGCAGTGCTCTGGAGTCATATAGGATGCTGGGGATGGGACCCGGGTCAGCTGTGTGTAAGGCAAGTGTGTATTCACTAAAGGGTTGTGGTGCTCTATCTCTTGCTCTTGCCGCCTGCAATCGGTAGTCTTATGCTGCTTCCCCCACCTTGGGGAGGTCGATGGCGATGGGTGGATGAAGGAAGGGACAAGAGCCTGGCTGGTCGGTATCAATTATTATTCCAATCTCCTCCCCATTCTCCTCTGATTCTCCTTCTGCTTCTCTTTCTGGATCCCCCCCAACCCACAGCCTAGTTTATATAGAAATCATGTAGGGTGGGGATACAAAGGTGGGGTTGAACATTCACTAAATCAACAAAGAGAGATAAGGTCACTCCTCCAGAAGATTAACTCAAGGACAAAATCTCATCTAAGGAGATTACTCCAGATTACAAGGAGATCTGCTTAAGGGCGGGATTCCATTCAGGGTGTGTTGCTTTCTTCTTTCCCCAGCTAGAAATCCACTTAAATAGTTGTAGTAAATTTACTTCTAATATTTCTAGCAATGTCATTTTTTATGAGAACAGTAAGAGATATCAAGCTTAAAGTTTGGTTCTTCCCGAGAACATCTCACTATGTTCCTGACCACAGTCCTCAATCCAGGTTAGTCTCCCTAATCCCAGCAGGGTCCTTATTCAGTTACCTCTGTTGGATCATGACAGAGTTTGTCCATGACTGTGCTCTTAACTTATAGTTAAGTATTATGGCGCTTGGCCTGGCCCATTTCTATGCCAGGGTAGCTCACAGCTTGCCCTGAGTCCATTCAGTCCCTCGTCTGGACCCTGCTTTTGGGGTGCTAGGCAACTAAGGGCAACTGAGGCTTAAGTTAAGAAAGCAGATGTTTAGGAGTGAATATTATTCGGAGTCAATTAACTCCCATGTTACATAGCATGGCATCAATTGTCTTTCTGTGTCTACAAAAAGGACATTGCTAAATAAACCAGACAAATGACATAAAGGGAAGAGAAAAGCAATATAGGATTATTAGTTGTGGAGCCTTAGTTGCTCTGTTGTAGGAGTGGCTCATTAAACCTTAAGCTCCCTGTGGAGCAGCGAAGTGTTATCCAACAGGCAAGCACCTTACCCGCTGTACTATGGGTCCGGCCTCTCTATTTTATTTTTTTGCAATTGGGGATATAGGGCTCACTTCTGCTGGACCCTGGCCTTGCCGATGCTTGAGGACAGTGATGAAGTGCTGCTTAGGCCTGCGGGGCTGTGGGCCACCAGGGTCATGCCGGTGGAGCCATGGATCAAACCTGGGGCCTCAAGCTTGCAGGACATGGACTCCAGCCTGGTTTGGTGCCCACTTTGGGGACTGTGTGGCCCAGGGAGCCCACCCAGGCCTCCTGCAAGCAAAGCCCGTGGGCAGCCTGATGAGTCATCACTCCTGCATGATTTATTGCAGTGCTGGGGATCGAACCCAGGAACACATGCAAGGCAGGTGATCTGTTGATCATCCCCAGCCCTGAGCTGTTTCTAGGGGAAGGGAGGAGTTTGGGGCCAGACCTGGTGGTACTCCAGGGCTACTCCTAACTCTTTGCTTAGGAATTGCTTCCTGTGGTGCTCAGGGATTGGCTCTAGAACTAGGGTCAGTTGCATGCAAGATAAGTACTTTAAGCTTTGTATTACATCTTTGATGGCCCCCACCCCCACCCCCAAGCACTGGATTTTTTTTTTTCTTTTTGGGTCACACCCGGTGATGCACAGCGGTTATTCCTGGCTCATGCACTCAGGAGTTACTCCTGACGGTGCTCGAGGGACCATATGGGATGCTGGGAATCGAACCCGGGTCGGCTGCGTGCAATGCAAACACCCTACCCACTGTGCTATCGCTCCAGCCCCAAGCCCTGGATTTTTAAGAAGTCTGAGAAAGCTCTATTTGCCCCTTTAAACCCCACAGGCTTGGAGATATAGCTATTCTGTAGAGCACCTGCATTCCATGTGTTAGGCCCTGGGCTCAATCGCCAGCACTGGAAAAAGAGAGAGGGAGGTGGGGGAGGGCTGGATGGATAATATAACAGGTAGGACACTTGCCTTGCATGTGGCCCACCTGGGTTCAGCACCCTGTACATCCACCCAAGCACCACCAGGAATCACCCCTGGGCACAGATCCAGGAGTAAGCCCTGGGGAGAAAGAAGAGCTTCTTCAAACCTCAGTGTCTAGACTTCTAACAGGGCACAGGAGGCAGAAGCTGCCAAGGGTTCCTGACGCAGGATTCACTACCCAGTGAGCCCCCGGGAACACACTCAAGAGAGTTTCAAAGCCACACCAGGTGACAAACATTAGACGCAAGTGGCTCACAAGTGGCTTGATGTTCACAAAACAGCAATTCCAATCTGTAAACACAGTTTAGTAGTTTCTGTGCATTTTTTTCTTAAAGTTTTTTTTTTATTGAATCACTGTGAGATACACCCTGACAAACCTGTCCGTGAATAGGTTTCAGTCATGCAGTGTTCCAACACCCAACCCTCCACCAGTGTACACGCATGCATTTTGGACTACAAGATCTACACTTGACTGTTGGTGCTAGATGCTGAGGCAGTGAATTTAATCTCTGAGGTGGAAAGTAGGTGATGGGACTCCTGCCTTACAAGCCTGAGACCATGAGTTTGATTTCCAGGACTGTCAACATGCATTCCCCCCCCCCCCCCCCAAATCCTCGAGCTTCCTGTTGAGATCTCTCCAGCATAATAAGTATTTTTGTGTAATAAGTAAGTCTCCATTTATGTCAGGTGTGTGAGTACAACTTAAAAAGATGTATGATGGGGCTGGAGTACAGTGCATAGGGTGTTGGCCCGGATTCGATCCCTGACAATCCATATGGTTTCTTTAGCACTGCCAGGAGTAATTCCTGAGTGCAGAGCCAGGAGTAGTCTCTGAGCATCGCTGGCTATGACCCAAAAATAAAATAGAATTAGTCTCGATAGCACAGCCAGTAGGGCGTTTGCCTTGCACGCGGCCGACCCGGGTTTGATTCCCAGCATCCCATATGGTCCCCTAAGCACCGCCAGGAGTAATTCCTGAGTGCAGAGCCAGGAGTAACCCCTGTGCATCGCCGGGTGTGACCCAAAAAGAAAAAAAAAAATAGAATCAGTCTCCAGCTTCTGTTGCTCACGGATGTCATAAGATGTAGTGGCAGAGGCAGCTGGGGATTCTGGTTCTGCTGGAAACTACCTAACTCTCAAGTCCTGGTTTCTGCATCTATAAACCAGGAAAACTGATCATATCTGTTCTAGGATCCTGTGAGTGGTCAGGGAGAAAATTCTGAAAAAGTTTGTGGTACTTGGTACCCAGTGAGGGTTTTTTTTTGGGGGGGGGGGTGCAGAGAGAAGGGGGCCTCCCAAGCAGACTTGTAATGGAATTTGTTTAACCACATCAAAAATATCTTTAAGTGAGAAAGTAAGGTGATTTAATTATTGAATGTCAAGACTGACCGCTAGTAGGCAGTCACCTGAAATTGTGACTCAGAATGGGGCTACAGAGCACTTTTATTTTTTTCAGGGTGGGGGAGGGGGTGGGCTTGGTCCACACCTGGCGGTGCTCAGGAGTTACTCCTGGTTCTGCACTCAGGAATTACTTCTGGTGGTGCTGGGGAACCTTATGGGATGCTGGGGAAATAACCCAGGTTGGCCTCACGTGCAAAGTAAATGCCCTACCCACTGAGTTATCACTCTAGCCCCCTACGTCAGGAGCACTTTTTTTTGTTTTGTTTTGTTTTGTTTTGTTTTGTTTTTGGGTCACACCCAGCGATGCTCAGGGGTTACTCCTGGCTTTGCACTCAGGAATCACTCCTGGTGGTGCTCAGGGGACTATGTGAGATGCTGGGAATTGAACCCGGGTCGGCCGCATGCAAGGCAAACGCCCTACCTGCTGTGCTATTGCTCCAGCCCCGGGAGTACTTCTTATAAAAGTTTTTCTGGTAACATAGCAACTTGTGGAACAAATTGGGCAACAGAATAGAGTTTCTTGATTGTGTCCTGACAATACACTGAGGTACACTGAGGCGGAGGGATGCAGCACAGAACTTGGGGGTGGGGGGCCCTTGTTGCTGGGAACCCTTAGGTCATTGAACCCTTAGGTCAAATGTAGAGGACATTTATTTACTAATTGTTTTTGGTGATCCCACTCCCCTTCCCGCCTAGGTAACAGATGGGTTGGAATCCTTCTGTTCTGAATCATAACTTATGATTTATGACCTATTCATCTCTGCCCAGTTTCCATAACAGCTCTGCCTCTGGCTGCCTTCCTGGTCACCTGTACTTAGTGACCGGCTTATGTTTCTCACTTTCCCATCACTATGATAGTACATCAAGATACGGCCTTTCTTAATCCCAAGGGTATAGGAATGGCAGAGCGAAAGCTGCAATTTAACCCTTAAATACCACACAGCAGGACCTGGGGGTCCTACTCCCGCCCCCCGCGCCCCCCCCATCCTCGGCTTGGTGCTGCTCACGCCCAGCAATGTTCAGGGGTCCTTGCAGTGTCAGGAATGGAATCAGGACCCCTGCATGCCGGGCATGTACTCCTGGCCCACACTTGGTGGTGCTCTGTGTTTACTCCTGGCTCTACTCAGGGAGCACTCCTGGCGGGGCTCAGGGCCCATATGCAGTGCCAGGGTTCGAACTGGGGTTGACTGAGTGCAGGCAAGCTCCCTGCCTGCTGACTCTCTAGCCCCTTATCTTACTATATATATTTTTTTGAAGGTTATAAATATTAAAAAGGTAAAGGCCCTCCCGTTGATCGTCGATTTGCTCGAGCGGGCCCAGTAACGTCTCCATTGGAGACTTTGTTGTTACTGTGTCTGGCATATCGAATACTCTCGGTAGCTTGCCGGGCTTTCCGAGAGGGGCGGAGGAATCAAACTCGGGTCGGCCATGTTGGCCGCTTGTAAGGCGAACGCCCTACCCGCTGTGCTATCACTCCAGCTATATTACCTGGCTTTATTACTCCTTGGACTGGAGTGGTAGCACAGCAGGTAGGGCGTTTGCCTTGCACACAGCTGACCCGGGTTCGATTCCTCCGTCCCTCTCGGAGAGGCTGTCAAGCTACCAAGAGTATACCGCCTGCACGGGGGGCAAAACCTGACAAGCTACCCAGGACGTATTCGATATGCCAAAAACAGCAACAACAAGTCTCACAATGGAGACGTTATTGGTGCCCACTCGAGCAAATTGATGAACAACGGGAGGACAGTGCTACAGTGCTGTTACTCCTTGGGGACTTGATGCCTGATGGTTGCTTTCCCCAAGAGCTCAGGATGGCGACTTTGTCCAAGAGATGCGTCCTTGTGCTTGTGCTCATCTTTCAGCTTTGGGGACGTGTGATCACAGCCTGAGAGGGTGACTGTCAGAGGGCCCCCAGGTGTGATCCGGCGACGTTCGTGCAGGAATATGACCCCTAACACCCCCAGATGGCGGTGTCACGTCCCACATGTCCCAGCCCCCCCACCCCCAGCCGGGGATCTCGGTGCTGCCATCCTGCTAGGACGATGAGTCTGGGCGCCCTCTCAGGGTGGGCTCCTCCTGCTAATGCCCAGGCTAGAAGGAGATGGTCTCTGCAGCCCGGACAGCTCCGGGCAGCGGGGCGGGGCCAGCGGGAACCTTCCTGCCAGTTCAATCAGCAGTTCTGACTCAAAAACACCCTCGGAGCAGGTCTGTTGCTCTGCAAGGTGGCAATCTCACCTTGCTTCCCGACTGGAATCCAGACTTAATTTAACTTGCTGAAAAGCTATATTTAACTTCTGCCTGTTTTGCTGGCTCCGAGGCCTCCTGGCTCACCGAAGGCAGTGTGTGTGGTGGGGGCGAGACGTGGGCCGTGGACAAGCCCGGGGCCAGCTGGCAAGGGCCTGACTGCACGGCTGGACACCAGAAAGAACGTTTCCTGGACATGGGTGTGTAACCTCGGGTGACTCTTATGGCTCCTGCAAGCCCTGATAATGCTTGCTGCTCCGCCAGCTGCCGCCCCCACTCTGTCCCGAGACGGAAGTGAAAGGGAAACTCCTGAACACTTGGCACGTGGCTGGCAGGAGCCCGGTGGTGGTGGACTTAGGGGCAGCGAGCGATGGCACAGAGGGCTAGCGCACAGACTCTCATGTGGGAGCCCCGGTTGCAGTCTCCCTCATCACAGGGTGCCCCAGCACTGCGCCAGGAGTAGCCCCCAAGCACCACCGGGTATGGCCCTAAAACCCAAGGGGCACTGGATGTGTGCATCTGCACTCACATCGACACGCGCCCTGTCAGCCAGTGCCAGCAGGGTGCTGTGGCGCTCCCGGTGCTCAGACCCTTCTGCTTCTTTGCAGGATTTCTTGTCGGCTGTGGAGGATGCCGAGAGCCAGTGTGCTGGCCCGTGGCCCATGAGAGCTGCGTGCCTGCAGCCTGGCCCTTCCAGACCCCAGGACAGTGTGTCCGAACAGCTGCCGGCCTGTCCCCCTGCACCTTCGGAGGCCTCAGGCCTGCCAGCCCGGGGTCTCCGCCTCCCAGCAATCAGTTTGCAGAGGCCTCCAGCGTCCGTGGGAACAGCTGCTCTCGGGCCCGAGTCTCCTCCCTGTGGCCCGGAGAAAGGGACCCTTTCCAAAGTGGGAGCCCCGCCCTTGGCCCCCCGCCCCGGGCTCGCCTTTGAGAGCCAGCAGCCGGGGCTTGGTGATTTCGAGGGCCCAGAGCAAGATGAATTTGATAAGGTGCTGGCAGACATGGAGCTGGAAGGGCCTGGCCTGGAGCCGACGCCTGGCCTCTTCAGGGAGGCCCAAGGAATCCTGCCGACGGAGGACACGCTCTCCACTAAAAAGGCGTGGGGTGCCGATCGGAGCCAGTCTTTTCTACGGGGTCCCAGGCCTGATGCTCACACAACGGGCAGCGTCTCAGCCCCCCATGAGCCCTCAGCTCCGCGTGTCCCTTGGGGGACTCCACAGTCCCCCTGGAGGCCCAGTGCTGTGGGTGCCTCGAATGCTCAGCATGTCCGCCCGGAAGTCTGGCCCCCAGAGCCTCCTTTCCGGGCCCCTCAGCCTCCTCAGACTGCTGGTGGGGCCCTTCAGAGCAGCCCGCGAGGTCACCTCCCCAGTCAGCCCTGCCTGTCTCCAACGGTGAGGCCCGGCAGCAGGCCTGGCTGTCCCCGGCTGCGGGCTCCGGGTGCTGCCACCTCATCTCCCTCCACGTTGAGCCCCAGGGCTTCCCCCCGGGGCCCCTTCCCGCTCAGTGCCCCCAGGCCCTGTGGGGACTCTCCTATCGGGACCCCGAAAGGCCCCCAGGCGGCTCTGCAGACTCCCATAGTGACTAACCGCCTGGTCCAGCTGGTCAGCGCTGCCAATCGGACACCACAGCAGCCGCCCCGCCCTGGCCCCCGCAGCAAGGCCCGCCGCTTCCCGGGCCCCGCCGGGGTCCTGCCTCACCAGGTAAGTGCAGAAGCCAGCGCTCTCTAGAGCAAGGGCCCAGCGTGTCCCTGCCGAGAATATTGCTGTTCCTGGAAAGGAGGGAAGGAAGTTCTGAGATGGAGGGTCAGAGAGCAGTGGGAAAAGCCCTCCTCCAAAGAGGTGAGGGCAGAGAGATAGTGAGACACCTGCCTCGACCACGACTGGCCTAAGTTCTGTTGTGGCATCCTGTGTGGACCCCACGCCCCTGAAGGGAGGTGTACTGAATGCTCGGGAAGCCTACGGAAGGCGCCGGGCGGGTTTCCCTGTGCTCTTGCAGCACCTGCTGCTGCCCGTGCCTTGCGGACAGCCCCTTCACTCACCTTCACTAGGTGAGCTGGACCTAGGCAGCTTGCGGTGAGCGGAGAATACCGAGAGGAAAACCACTAATTCACACCCAAGCACCTGCGGGTGCTTCATGTAGAAGGGGTGGGGGGCCCCAGGGAAGGCCCAGGGTCCATCCGTGATGCCACTCGGACCCTCCCAGCACCTTGCCAGGAATTGGTACTTGAGGGTGTGGGCCGCTCCCTGGGCCTGCTGTGGTTTGGGGGTGTCTGGGGGCCGTTGCAGTAGTGAGCCGGGAGGCACACATGCGACGGCAGGTCTGTGGGGCCAGTGGGCACTCTGCTTAGGTTGGGATTTCTGCAGGAGTCAACAGCTTCTCCCCGCCACAAGTGACTCCAGGTCAGATCCCACCTGATTCAGGATCCTAGGCTTGTGAGGTGCACCCCCTATCCTCCCATGTGTAGACTGCAAAGTTTCTCCCCATCACGTAAGGTCTCTCTGGACTGGGTCTGTCTGAGCGAGCACCTGGGGGGGAGTCTCCTCCAGGCTCCTCTATTGTTGGTACTGGGGAGAGTGTCTTCCAGGCTCCTTCCGGCTGGCTCTGCTATTCAGGTCATTGCCCCCTGCAGGCAGCCCGGGGTTTTGCTCCTGGGCCAGCTTCAGTTCCTCACATTCCCAGACCCATCCCCAAAGCGACTTTTTTTGAACTGCCAACAAGGCTCCTGAGACTTTGTTAGAAGAGATGTAATATGTGTTAATTGTCCCTGATAGTTTCCTGCACTCATTATGTAATCCAGACAAGAAGCTGTACTTGTAAATAACAGCTGCTGAGCTCGCTCTCGCCTTCCCCTTCTCTCTCTGCTCCTAGCACAGTGGGAAAAATCTGGAGGAGATCATGGTCTCCACGCCCCAAACCCCAACTCACGGGGCTTTGGCTAAACTCCGGACCAAGGTAACTACTCCTGTGCGCGTGTTTGCTTCCCCGGCCTCGCTGGAGGGCGTGGGCCTGGCTGGCCCTGTGTGTTTCGGGAGCTGGGCATCGGAGCTGATGCTTGGAGGCCTCGTCCCCAGCGTTGCATTCCAAAGGGTGCTTGGACAGGAGCGCCTGGGAGGCATGCACTCCGGCCGTCACTGGGCGTGGGTGCAGCCTCTTGTCCCAGCTGAGTCAGCCCTGCTTGCTCTGCGGGCAGTACCGTCTGTGTTAGGCACCCGGGGGCCCTTGCTCAGGGTTCTGGCAGCGGAGCTGGGGAGATGTGCTTGCACCCAGCCCCCAGTTGGTTCCCTTTGGGTGAGTGAGCTCCAGCCTCCCTCCAACGGTGCTGCTTGGCCTACGCAACTCCGAGCCCCGTTCTGGCCTGGATTAGCCCCAGTTCGTCTGCTGCAGCTCCATGGCGCCTCCACCCAGTTCAGATCCAGAGCCCTTACTCCACATCTGGCTTCAAAGCAAGAATTAAACCTAAGAACGTCAATAGCCAAAACCGGAGCCAGCCCAAACCAAATCCAGCTGTTTTTCAAAGAAATCAGCCGGAAGGCATTCTGGGAGCACAGATCTGCCCAGGCTCGCTGGCCCGAGGACGCAAGGACAACTGGCCTTTGGTGACAGTGTGCTGAGGCCAGGACCCACCCTGCAAAAAAGAGGCACAGGGCCAGAGAGATGCCTTGGGTGGGACACTTGCCTTGCCTGTAGCTGACCTGGGTTCAATCCCTGGCATCTGATATAGTCCTTGAGCACTGCCAGGAGTAAGTCCTGAGCATTCACCAGGTGTGACCTCAAAACCAAACAAAAAACAAAGAAACCGAGGCACACCTTTGCCACAAGCTACACACTGAGAAACGTGCACATGTCTGAAGTGGGGCGGGCCTGCAGGCCCCTCCTCACCCACCTGCATCTGGGGGGGCTCGGGCAGGTCTGCGCAGGTGCCCCAGGAACCCAGCCCCCTCTGTTCTGTGGTGTCAGGTAGTTACCAGTTCTCAGACATCAGTGGAAGAGGACTTTGGGCGCGGGCCCTGGCTGACCATGAAATCGGCGCTGGGCCTGGACGAGAGAGACCCCGCCTGCTTCCTGTGCTCCTACAGCATCGTCATGGTGCTTCGAAAGGTAGGCCAGGGACTGTAGCCAGGCAGCTGTGCCCAAAGGCCAAAGCCCCCTGCTGTGCGCACGCACAGAAAGTGTCCGGCCTGTCCCTGCGTGCCTTGCCTGGGGAGGGGGCTCTTGCCCCTCCCCAGTGGTCCAACCCATGTGGAGACACATCCCTGCACTGCTGCCGGGTCATCAGGGAGGGGAGGAGGCCGGAGGGAAATGAGGGCCTGGCTGTGAGAAGGGTGGCTGGGCGGCCTTGGAGGCCCCGCACCGAGGCACTGGCCTTTCTCTGCCTTCCAACCCCGATACCAGCCCCTCCTGCCCTGTTTGCCCCGCACCCTTGGGCACTTCACCAGCTCAGCTGAGGCCTCCTGTTGTTCCAGGCAGCTCTGAGACAGCTCCCCAGGAACAAGGTCCCCAGCATGGCCGTGATGATCAAGTCCCTGACCCGGAGCACCGTGGATGCCAGCGCCGTGTTCAGGGACCCCACGGGTGAGGAGTGGGGTACCCGGGGTGGAGGGTCCGAGGCCCTGGGTCATCTCTCCATGTGGCTGTGGAGAAACTGAGTCAGTAGGCAGCTGATGGCCTGCGGTATTGCAGGGGAGATGCAGGGCACGGTGCATCGGCTGCTGCTCGAGTCCCGCCACAGTGAGCTAAAGCCAGGCTCAGTGCTGCTGCTCAAGCAGGTACGGGGTCCCGCCCGCTGTGCTGGGGAGGCCCTGACCCCCACTGTGGGCTGGGGGGGGGACAGTGCTGCAGGCAGGAGCTGGGGAGGGCTCAGGCTGCAGCATGAGCTGGCCGGCACCCGGCCCCATCTGAGCCCAGCGCTACCCGGTGTGGCCCTCGTGGTCACCATTGAGCCCAACCATTTGACTCTCTGGCCCATAGAGTCGGCAGAGGGCCACGGGGGGCCCCCAGGAGCCCCCCAGCACTGTTTGGGAAGCCCCATCTTCCAGGACATGAAGAGGAAAATAGGCACTGGAGCAAGTACAGTGGGCAGGGCCTTGCATGTGGCCAAGCTGGGTGCAGTCCAGATGGTCCCCCGAGCCTGCCAGGAGTCAACCCTGGGCCTCAGGTGGGCGCTGACCCCCTCTCCCTACAGGTTGGCGTGTTTTCTCCTTCGCTCCGGAACCACTACCTCAACGTGACACCCAGCAACCTGGTCCGCATTTACTGCTGCGACACTAGAGACGGGGGCCTGGGCACGGTAAGGGTTTCGGGGGTCTGCACTGTCCCGGGCCGGAGTGTGGGGATGTGCCTAAGGTGAAGGGCGGCAGGCTCGAGCCTGGCAGGGCAGAACTGACCGAGCTGGGGTCCCCTGGAGGACAGTGGCCCCTGTTAAGGCTATGGTCACAAAGGCCTAAGCAGAGCAGCTAGCACACATGGCTCCCCCAGGCGCATAGAAATGGGGCATGCAGGGAGGACCCTCTAGGAACTGAAGGAGATGGGGTTCCAGGCACCCACTGCCCCCTCTGACCACTCTCGTCCTGCCCAGAGCCCTGTCATGACCTGATAAAGTATGGGGGGGTAGGAAACTGGGGTGGTCTCAGCTTTGTCCATGACATGTAACATGCCCCCCTCCCTTCCCTCCCCATATCTCACCCATGAGAGGATGCAGAGGACCTCACTTGAGTTTTGAGTGGTGCCTTTATTTGATTTTTTTTTTTTTTGCTATACCCAACAGTGCACAGGGTTTACTCCTAGTACTGTGCTCAGAGATCACTCCTGGCAAGCTCAGAGGACCATATGGGGTGCTGGGGATCGAATCCGGGTCAGCCTCATGCAAGGCAAACGCCCTACCTCCCGTACTCTCTCTCTCATCCTCTGAGTGACGTTTTTAGCTTTAATTTGTTTCACCCACTGCACCCCTAACTTTCCTGAATTCTCTATGTTCTCTAAAACTCCCTACACTTAAAAAAAAATAGTCTCTATGTTTTGTTTGGTTTTATTCCCCCTTTTTTGGAGGACTGGGGGGAGCACAAAATCCAGTGATACTTAGAGCTTAGTCCTGGCCCTGCCAGAGATAACTTCCGGTGATGCTCAGGGGACCATATGTGGTACCAGGGGTGGAACCTGGGTTGGTCATGCACAGGGCAAGTGCCTTAAGCCTTGTACTATCTCTCTGGCCCCTTTCTTTTCAATGTTAAGTCATCTATACTCATTGAAAAAAAGTGGAAATAGTACAGAATAAAGCAAAATATGAGATTTACCTCCCCTACTCCCATTCTCTAGGGCAAACCATGGCTAATGGCTTAATTACTAATTTTAATTACCTGCCCATCAATTAGTTAGTTTGGGGCTTGTCAGCAGCTAGTTTCCAGTCCCAGGCTTACCCCTAAACATTTCTCTGAATGGCCTCGTTACTCTCCCGGGCCAGTCTCTGAGATTTCCTGAAACCTCAGAGAGCAGCGCAGTTGGGAAAATCAGCTCCAAAATGAGGTTTTCTTTGTTTTAAAAAGCTGTCTCTCCAGCACTGCATGGTCTCCTGAGCACCGACACTGTGAGCAGCTCCTGGCACTTCTGGGTATGACCCAACACCTTCCAAATTTTTTTGTTTCCATTTAAACGTGGGAGTTGGGAGGGGATAGTACAGTGGATAGGGCATTTGCCTTGAGTGCCATTGACCTGAGGTCAATCTCCAGCATCCCATATGGTCCCCTGAGCCCATCAGGAATGATCCCTGGGCACAGAGCCAGGAGTAAATCCTGAGTTTACTGCCCCCCTCCCCCATTTTTTTTTTTAAATAAAAAGTTATTATTGGGGCTGGAGCGATAGTCCAGCAGGGAGGGCATTTGCTTTGTATGTGGCCAGCCCAGTCCCCTTTGGTCCCCCAAGCCCACCACAAGTAATTTCAGAGTGCAGAGCCAGGAGTAACTACCAAGCATCACTGGGTGTAGCACCTCACTCCCCTCTGCCCCCCAAAAAAATTATGATTGACATTTCATCTTCACGATGTTTAGCTCATGTTCTTCTCAGTGGTATGGATCCTGGAAATGTCTGTCAGTCATTAGAGACAGAAATAAAATGATCTGGGGCCGGAGCAATGGTACAGCAAGTAGAGCGTTTGCCCTGTACACAGCTGACCCAGGTTCGGTCCCTGGCATCCTATAGGGTCTCCCTAGCACCACTAGGAGTAATTCCTGAGTGCAGAGCCAAGAGTAACCCCTGAGCACCGTTGGATATGACCCAAAAAAAAAATCAAAAAAGAAAGAATATGCTGGACTGATAGTACAGTGGCTGGGCACTTGCCTTCCAGTTGCTGACTCGGGTTCAACCTGAGCACAGAGCCAGGGGTCAGCCCCGAGTACCGCAGTGAGGGACCGCAATGATAGTACAGGGGGCAGGGCTCTTGCCTTGTACACGGTTCCCCAGCACCCGTATAGTTCCCCAAGCCTTCCAGGAATAATCCATGAGCACAGAATCTGGAGTAAGCCCTGAACAATGCCAGGTGACCGTCCCCCTCCATAAATAAATAAATAAATAACAAAACCCCTTAGGGGCTGCTGCCTAGGGCATTGGCTTTGCCCTTTCCTCTCCACACTTAGACAGGAAGGCCAGCCTGATCCACCCTGCCTCTTTCCTGAGCCCTCTCCGGTGATGCCGAGGTCGTCTGGAGGAGGCTCCCCCGATGGGGATTCCGTGGGTAACCAGATCGTCTGTCCACAGGAGCCCGCAGACTCCCAGGATGGCCTCCTTCAGGACGAGACAGGGAAGCCTGAGAAAGGCCTCACCCCAGCCCGGACTCCGGAGACTGGGGCAGCCCCTGAGGAGGAGCTGCCTGAAGCAGGTCAGTACTGGCCCTCCCCGCAGCTGCCCCGCCACTAACCCTGGTTTGGGACCCCACCCATGGAGCTTGGGGGCACACACTGCTCAGCACTTGGGCAGCCGTGTACCAGGGTCCACCCTGCGGCTGCCCTTTGGCTGCTTCTCAAGCCCCTCCATTACTACTTTGCTGGGGTGGCAGCTGCCAGGGTTTCAGGGCTCACCTGGTTCTGCTCAGGAGTGACCCTTGGCTGCACTTGAGGGGTCAGTGCATTACTGAGGATTGAATCTGGCAGCTGCAGACACGCACCTAACCCCACATACTGTTTCTCTGGCCCCTCCCCCATTAACCCTTGATGAGCTCAGCCAGATTTTTCTTTCAGTTCCCTCTTGATCCTTTTTCTGTGAATTTTTCCATCTGATGGAATCTCAAAATCAGCTGTGGTGCCTTCTCTGCCACAGATGGTTTCCCAGTGTGATCAGCTGCACCAACCAGGCAAGGCCGGAGCCATAGCACAGCAGGGAGGGTGTTTGCCTTGCACACAGGTGCCCAGATTTGATCCCCAGCCCCCCATAGGGTTTCCTGAACCCCACCAGGTGTGACCCCAAAACGAAAAAAGACACAGTGAAAACAGAGTATGATCTACAGGCTTTCTGTTTCTATGCCTCTCCATCATGCACAGGGTGGGCCGGTGCCTCCTTGGGCTGATGGCCAGGCTACAGCGACACCCGACTAAGCTCAGAACCCCTCCAGGCAATGCTGGGTCCAGTGGCCATGTGGTAGAGCTGGGAGACCAAATACTGAGCTGCCCAAAGCCAGCTGACTCCCCAGGAGGCAGCATCAGCCAAGTGAAGCCAACGCGAACCTAAGACCTACCCCTTAGGGGGTTTATTCCGTTAATTCAGCCTATGATAGTACAGCAGGTAGGGCCCTTGCCTGTCATGCAGCCAACCCAGGTTTGATCCCTGGCACCACATAACGTCCCCCAAGCCCTCCCAGGAATAAGACCTGTCTCTCCTAAACAAAAACAAAATTCTACTTTGTCTGGCCCCCAGTGCATGGAATCGTGTGGAAAAGCACCCACTCTGGCTTTTGGTAGAGTACTTGCCTTGCATGTATGAAGCCTTGGATTTGATACCCTGTTCCATGCAGCTTCCCCCCTCCCTTCACTGCCCAGGGCTGTCCCTAATTAAAGGGAAAATGAAGGGGAGCCAGGTAGTAGAAGGCTAAGGCATGTGGCTGAGCCCCATTTTGTTCCCTGAAAACACATGGTCCCTCACCAGGAATGATCATGAGCAGAGCTAGGAATAGCCCCTGAGCACCACCAGGATGACCCTAACCCTACCCATCCGGCAACCCCCGCCAAAAAAAAAAATTTTTTTTTGTGAAGGATAGTAATAATTGGGGAGACAGCTCAGCAGTAATACACGTGCCCTGCCTGTGCGCTCCTAGCTGCAATCAAGAGTCTGTGGTTGACTTTGAGGGGCTGACTGGAGAGGTGGCTCAGTGATGGAGCTCATGCTTTGTCTATGTGAAACCCTGGGTTCAGCCCCCGGCACTGCAGAAAACAAGCATAAGAGTTCATGATAGAAGCTGCAGGGGTTGATGAAGGGAGTGCTGCTCCTATGTCCTTGGGCAAACCATTTCAGTTGTTTGATTTTTAACGTTGGGGAAGTTCATACCCAGTGTTGCTTAGGGCTTACTCCTGGCTCTGTGCTCAGGGATCACCAGGCAGAACTCGAGGAACCATATGGGGTGCTTGGGGATTAAACCTGGGTTGGCTATGTGCGTGGCAAATGCTCTGTCCCCTGTACTATTGCTCTGGCCAGTAAGCACCACTTCAGAACTGCAGTCAGGAAGATTTCATTCCCAACACCCACAAAGACACCTTGGGGACCTCGTTGTCTCCCAGTCTTTGGATAAGAAGCCAGATTAATGAACGGAACTGTGGGGGCCAGAGTGACAGCACAGCAGGTAAGACGCTTGCAAGTCAGGTTTGATCCCTGGAACCACATATGGTTCCCAATATCTGCCAGGAATGACCCCTGAACTCAGAGCCAGGAATAAGCCCTGAACACCTCTGGTGTGGCCCAAACTCCCCCCACCCGCCGAAAAAGCAAACACTAAGAGAGTAATGAATCGTGTGATTTGGAACCTCTAGTGTCTTTTCCCTGCCTGGTCCCCCGGTCCAGTGAGAGGGTTGTCCTAAGGGTCCGTGAGCCTTTCTGCTCAGGTGCTGAGCAGGTGACAGGCACAGGCTCCACCCCTGCCTTTCCATGTGAGGGTATGTGGGGAGCCGATTGCAGCAGAGGCAGCCTGGCGCCCCGACTCGACCACCAGGTACAGGCCCTCTGGGCAGGAGTTGTGAAGGATGACATCACAGAGATGTCCTTTCCTACAGATGACCTGGACGGGCTCCTGAGCGAGCTCCCGGAGGACTTCTTCTGCGGGACCAGCACCGGGCAGCCACCCTGAGCCTCACCGCTGTCGGGCAGCCTCTGCTGGTCAGGTCACGGTCATGGGCAGCTGGAGGAAAGGCGGGGCTGGAGCTCGTCGTCACTGCCCCAGGCACGCTGCACACAGCTGTCACTGGCTGTCCTCTTGGTGCATGGGAACCAGCTTGCCTGCCCTCCTCCGGGTCACCCCCTGCCTCCACTGGACTGCGGAAGAGGCTAGACAGCTGCAGCCCCACACAGCGGCGCCAAGTGCCCGGCCCAGGAAAGGGCCACACTCAGGCTTGTCCTTCCTGAAGGCCCTGTGCCCGAGCTCGCCTGTGCCAGGCCTTCCCCACTGCTGGGCCCAGCTGCATCTGATGCCTGGTTCTCCCCTCTTCTTGGTGTTCACTCCCCTGCCTATGTGTTCATTTTGTTTTGTTTGTGGGGGACTTTGGGGCACATCCAGTGATATTCAGGACTTACTCAGGATTCTGCACTCAGGGGTCACTCCTGGATGGCTCAAGGGACCGGAGATCAAACCCGGGCTGGCTTCGTGCAAGGCCTACCCGATGCACTATCACGCCAGCTTCTGCCCGGGTGTGCTTTTGGCCCAGGCAAAGCCGCCTTCTCCTTTTCTCTGTTCCTTCTTTATACCCTTTTTCTTTTATAGTTTTTGGGCCTCATCCGGCTTTTCTGGACTTACTCCTGACTGCTCAGGGATCACTCCTGGCGGTTCTCAGGACCATATGCAGTGCGGGGGGGGCGGGGAGGGCGTCAAACTGGAGTCCCCCGCAGACAAGACAAGCACCTTACACCTTTCTGGGCCCTGCTTATATTTGTTTCAATAAATTTCCTCGAAGACAGTTCCAGTATTCAGCAGTAGCATGACACTACAGGGGATTCCCCCTCGCGCACCTCCCCCAGTCTCCCCCTTACCTGAGTGTGGCCAGCGTGGAGAAGCCGTTCTTTCACACCGTGATAAAACTGCCTCGGGCTACGCGGTTTCCCTGCTCTCCTGGGATCCCGAGTGGGCTTTATTTGTTTGTGTTTGGGGGTCACACTAGTGGTGCCCAAGGATCACTTCCAGGCTGGCTTGGACTACCTGGGGTGCCTGGGATCCAACTCGGCTTGGCTATGTGCAAGGCAAGCACCCTGCCTGCTGTACTGTCACCCACCCCCCCTCACCCACTGTGTTTTAGTCATCATGAGTGAGGGGACAGCTTGGGGTGGGCAGCATGTACATTGCCTGCTGGAACCAGCCTGGACGCTTCCCCCAAGCACTGCAGGGATGCCCGGCCCGCAAACATCTTAGGTGTCAGGGTTCTTGGAGGGGGAGGGGGGCTGGCCATTGTCTGGCAGTCCTCAGGAACCACACCTACTGGCTTGTTGTTGGCGGGTCACTCCCAGCAGTGCTCAGGAGACCCTGTGGTACTGAGGATCAAACTGGCCCCCACATACAGAGCAGGTGCTCAGCCCTTTGAGCATCTCCCCTGCCCAGATATATTGGGTTGTGCTTCGTAGGGGGCCATACCTGGTGGTGCTCAGGGATCATTCCTGGCAGGCTTGAGGGACCAATGTGGCACCAGGAAACCCAGGCTGGCTGCATGGAAGGCAAGTGCCTTATCTGCTAGACTATTGCTCCAGCTTCCCTTGTTTGGTTTTGGTTTTGGGGTCGCATCTGGCACTGCTCAGGGTTTACTGCTGGCAGTGTTGGGGACCAAACCAAGATGGGGATCAAACAGGGATCAATCAGCCATGGCCAAGGCAAACTCCTTAGCTACCATACTGCCTCTGGCACCTGGAATTGAATGTTTTGTAACTAGGCCAGGGTTGAGTGCTTGGGGGAGGATGACCCCAAGGATATGGTATTATTGTCACATCAGATCAAGGGTTGATGTTGACCCTGACTGACCCTGACTGGGGCCAAAGGTCTAATAATTACAAGTGGCCTATCTTGCTTTCCTTTCTGGAGCGAGAAAGGAAGATTCTTCTAACTGGTGCTAGAGGGATGCAGGTTCAAGGCCTCAACCTGAACCCCAACCCCAGCTTCACCCATCACTTAGCAGTGCCGGGTCCTTTGATGGGGAGGCGTCAAAGCAGCTGCTGCCATGGAGCCCATCTGAAGGCTGAAGTGTGGAGAGGCTTTAAGAATTCCACCTCCGGATGCCAGAGAGACAGCACAGAGGGTGGGGCTTTTGCCTTGCATGTGGTCAACCTGGGTTTGATCCCTGGCACCTCAGACAGTCCCTCGAGCACCTCCAGGAGTTATTCCTGAGTAGAGCCAAGAGTAACGCCAAGCACTGCCAGGTGTGGCCCCCAAAACAAAACAAACAACCCTCTGCCTTCGGAGGAGAGAGCTCAGCAGGCTGGAGGGCCTGCTTGGCATGTGGGAGGCTCCAGTTAGATCCCTGGCGCCGTTGGGCACGGCCAAGAACTCCAGATTCAAATCAGGGCTTCAGCTGAGCAGGAGAGCCCTGGACCCACCCTGGGTACACAAAGCATGAGTGATGGGGCTCTTCAGCGAAAAGGGAAAACCCCATGTCAGGGGAAGGAAATGGACGCTCTGGTGGGAGGTGTGGTGGCAGAGCGCAATACCCCTAAGACCCTACCAGTTAAATACTGTAGATGGTGACACTTAAGAAACAAGTTAGGGGCTGGAGCAAGAGCACAGTGGAGAGGGCATTTGCCTTGCACACAGCCAACCTGGGTTCAATCCTCAGTTTCCCATATGGTCCCCCGAGTATCACCAGGAGTCATTCCTGAGTGCAGAGCCAGGAGTAACCCGTGAGCATAGCTGGGATGTGACCCAAAAAGCCATAAATAAATAAATAAATAGATGAAACAAAAGTTATTTAATTTCTCCTTTGCTTTCACTCATGCTGCTTCCCCTCCCTCACCCCCCGCCCCCAACAACAACAACAAAAAAAGCTCAACAGTCACTGGTTGCTGTCTAGCTGAGCAGGTCACACCCTTTCTCCAGCCACAACTGCCAACTCCTGCCCGCTCTGGCTGTGTGGGCCCCTTGCACCTGGCCTGCAGTGGCCTGCCCGACTTGGAGCCCTGGTCCCTACTGCTCAGTCCTGACCAATGTCCAGGTCTCATGAGTGGTTCCCGTGCTCTGAGGCTGGCTGGGCACTTGGCCGCCTGGCATGCTGCTCCTGCCAGTAGAACTGGCTCCCCGTGGGTTCGGTGCGGGCTGAAGTAGGACCCTCCTTTCCTGCCTTCAGGAAGTTCGTGCTCAGGACAGGAGAGACAACCCAGGGCATCTGGAGGGGAGCTGTAGTTGGCAACTCCAGGCCTGGGGGACAGCCCAGAGGCTGTGGAGCACGGTGGGATGGTGGGGTGGTACCCCCTTCCCTGAAATGAAGGCTGGGAGGACCCCAGGCCCCACGTCCTGGGACCACTGTGGGCCGCAGGCAGGCTGCCTTGGCCCCTCCTGACCTTGCCAGCTCCCCTCCCTGGGAATCCAGCTGTGGGTGCTCGGCCAGGCCGTGGGCAGAGCAATTAAAACGCTGAAGGGGTGCCAGCAGGGTTAATCATGCCGTGTGGATAGAGGCATCTTTCTCTGCGCAGCCCCGAGCCCTCGCTGTGCATGATCTCATCTGTCCTCTGGGCCCCCTCGCCCTAGAGCATCACCCAGATGCTGGGGCAGGCGTGGGTGAGGCAGGCAAGGGCAGTGCTGGGGAGAGCCAGGTGGCTGCCGCCCCCGGGGGCAGGTGAACCAGTGTTTGCTGAGGCAGAGCCCTGACCCGCCGGGGGCTACCCAGCAAAGGACGCCCTGCCATGTGCCAGGCCTGGCCAGCACCCAAACCCACCAGTAAGCGTAAACTCACTGGGGTGCGTTCCAGAGTGCTGGGGGGGGTGGGGGGGAAGGGGGCCTGGGCTCACCGCAGACCTGGGGCTGGGGCGTGTGTGGGCTGAGGGTTGGGGCTGTCGTGAAGGCAGGGGATTAGCCGTTTCCCCCAGCGCCTGACCTGCAGGCTGCGCAGCAGAGAGATGCTAAAGACTCCAAACGTGGGGTCAGGGGACAAGGAGGTGCCCAGGCCTGGCGGGGCGGATCCCTGGCCCCTGCAGCCCAGCGGCCCTTTGAAGCGTCATGCATGGCCTCCTGCTGCCCTCTAGAGGCTGCGGGAAGTGCCGCCGCACTCCAAGGCTTGGGGTCCCCAGAGCTGGAAGGGCCACCCCTGGTCCCCCTCAGGCCCTCAGGGGAGTGCTGTCGGGAGCTGGAAGTGTGTTCCTGAAGCCTGCTGCCGCCTGGTGGGGAGTGGTCACCGCTCTGCTCCTGGGTGTCCTGGGCACCATGCGGAGGGACCCCATCTAGGGTCCTCGCCCTGGCTCCCTGGCCCATACTGTGACTTGGGCAAATGTTTAACTTCGTCTCGCCTTAAGGTCCTATGGGTCAGACAGCATCACCTACGTCAGAGGTGTTCACGGATGCTGACTAGAGTCAGTTCTAGAATTTACTATCCAAACCAGATCTGCTCTTCACCTGACCCTGGGCACTGTGTACGAGTGATTTATTCTTTTATTTTTGGTTTGGGGGTCACTTCTAGTAGTGTTGGGGGAAAGGGGAAGGATGAGGTGCCGGGGATTGAACCAAGATCTCCTACGGAAGTGGTTTGCACGCTCTGAGGCGTGTGTTTGTGTGTGTGTGTGTGTTTGTGTGGATGTGGGGGTCACTACTGTGGCTACCCCAGGTGTCTCCCCGGCGGGGTCTACGTCTCTACAGCAGTGACAAATTGGGGGGGATGGGTTGACAGTTGGGGGGTCAGCTCCGATTCTTCCTGTCTTCTTCACTTCCAGCCCCAGGGCTCCCCACCCCAGAACAGGGAGGATACGAACCTGAGGGGTTAGGGTTAAGGGTCCCTCCCCGGGGAGCTGGGGGGCAGGGGTGGCCTCGCCACTATCTTGGCTTCCAGAGTCTCCTCTGGGGAAACTTTCCCAGCACGGCCTATTTATAGCCTCAGCTGCTCCTGTCTCTGGGTTAGGGGTGAGGGGCAGGGTGACGCCTTGGCCCTTGGGGTGCCAGTGGGCTGAGGGAACCCAACTCTGCCCAGCTGCCCCTGCCCAGCCCCCTGGGCCCCTCCACATGGCAGGAAGCTTCCCCCTCGCCTCGTCCACACCCCGCGCTCGTCGCCTGCAGCAGGAGTGGCTGGAATGGGAGGACCGGCGGGCTGCTGCCCAGCAGGCCCGGAGCCGCAGGGGCCCCCCGAGTGCCCGCGCCCAGGTCAGTAGGCCCCGCCGTGCCTGCCAAGACCCAGCCGTCCACAGCGCCCTGCTGGCCGGCGACCTCCCACAGGTCCGCGCTCTGATCCAGGACGAAGAAGCCGCCAACATGATCGTGGAGACAGTGAGCAACCAGCTGGCCTGGTCGGCTGAACAGGGTAGGATCCCTGGGTGGGGACGGCGCCCTGGGGACAGGGGGGCTTGGCCACCCTCCTGGCAACACCACCCATCCAGCTCACTCCCAAACTGAGCGGAAGCATGAGCAGGGTGGGGGGGAGGGCTTCTCTGATCAGCGTCAAAATTCTTCTATTAGTCACGTAGTAGTACCGTGATATTCTAATGAGATCTTTCTCTTGCGTGCGCCATATGTTTTCCTTTCAGAGAATGAAATCATTCTCCATATGCTCTTTTTTCTTTTTCTTTTCCTTTTTTTTTTTTTGGTGGGGGTGGTTTTGGTTTTGGTTTTGGACCATACCCAGTTGTACTCAGGATTCATCTTAGGATCTTAGGGATCATTCCTGGTGGGGCTCAGAGGACCCTATGGGGTACCTGGGAACCAACGTGGGTCGGATATTTGCAAGGCTGTATTTACCCGCTGTACTATCTCTCAGGCCCCTTTACCTGTTTTAAATAGCACTGTGATCAAAATCTTGGTGTTCCTGCCAGGTGATTTCCTTAGGCTCTCAGCTCTCCCAGCAGCTGAGATCCGCAGGAGGAGATTCAAACCCCACACAGAGGTGTGCCCTCAGCACATGAAGAATTTATCTACCTATTCCTAAGCTTCCAGTTCCTGCTTGGCCTCAACTATCAGATGTGACCCCTCTCAGGGTTTTACCCTCCGGAAATCTGATAGTCAAATAGAACATAACCCTAATCATTTTTTTCCCCCTCCTCTTCCTCCTCTACCTTCCTCCTCCTCCTCTTCCCTCTCTTTCCTCCTCTGCTTCTTCCTCCTCCTCTTCCTCTTCTTCCTCCCCCCCCCTTTTTTTTTTTTTTTGCTTTTTGGGTCACACCCAGCGATGCTCAGGGGTTATTCCTGGCTCTGCACTCAGGAATTACTCCTGGCGGTGCTTGGGGGACCATATGGGATGCCAGGGATCGAACCCAGGTCGGCTGGCGTGCAAGGCAAACGCCCTACCTGCTATGCTATCGCTCCGGCTCCCACTCTCCTCCTTTTGTTTGTTTTTGGGCCACACCTGGCTGTGCTCAGGGCTTTCCCCCTGGCTCTGTGCTCAGGGATCACTCCAAGCAGGGCTCGGAGGACTAGTTGGGGTGCCAGAGATTGAACTAGGTTGGCCAGGTGCAAGACATACGCTTTGCAATTTGAAGGTTATTTTTAGTGATTGTTTTGGGTTTGGGGGCTATACCCAGTAATCCTCAGGGGCTATTCCTGGCTTTGTGATCAGGGGCCGCTCCAAGAACCAGTGCCAGGGATGGAACTGAGGTCAGCACAGACCAGACCTCTGCCCCACCCTCTCCTGTCTCTGGCCTCGTTTCGGGTTTGGATCCAACACCATTTCTCTTTCCTCTCCACACTCTTCCTTCCCCACCCCACACTTATTTGTCTCCTCTGTTCTCTACCCCCACTTCCTCTGCACGGCCCTAACCTCTGGAGTATCCTCAAGTCCAGGATCCTTCAGGACTGTTCACTGACCCCACCCCCCCAACGCCCCCCAAGCTCAGCTTCATGCCCTCTCGCATTTACATCCCACCGTCAAGGCCAGAGTGAAGGAAGAGAGCAAACTCAGGTTGTGGCTAGGACATTCACCTTCTATATGGCCCACGTGGGTTTCATCCCCTGGCACCCCATATGGTCCTCTGAGCCCTGCCAGGAGTGATCCCTGAGGGCAGAGCTAGGAATAAGCCCTGAACATCACTGGGTGTGGACCCCCAAGCCAAACCAAAACAAGACCCAGGGTTCCTGAAAGAGAGCTTTTCGGGCAGAGAGCACAAGGGTGACCCCCAAAGCACAGAGCCACTAATACCGACCTCCACCCTAAGTTGCACCAGCTGTAGCCCCCAATCATAACGAGTCCATGTTTTACAAGGAGGAGACTGGCTTCTATCTGGCCCAGAGTCAGTAGTGGCTCCCTACGCTCAGAACCACAAGATAAGTGGTTTTGTGGCCTCAAAACAAAAGAAAAACAAAAAGGAATGAAAAATATAAAAATAAAAAGAGACTCACGGCCTGTTAGTCCCTGCAGGGTTTTGTCTGTTTGGGCCTGGAGGCCATACTCAGGAGAGCCCCTCAACACCCACCATGCCAAGGACCATCCAGGTGCTGGGCAGAGCCTGAATCTTTAACCCCGGGTCACCAGTCTTCAGGACTCACCGTCTGGGGCTGGAGCAACAGCACAGCAGATAGGGCATTTGCCTTGCACACGGCCGATCCGGGTTCAATCCCCAGCATCCTATATGGTCCCCTGAGCGCTGCCAGGAGTAGTTCCTGAGTGCAGAGCCAGGAATAACCCCTGTGCATCACTGGGTGTGACCCAAAAAGAAAAAAAAAAAAGACTCGCTGTCAGTGCTGACAGATGGTACATCAACCCAGTTCCAGGCTAAGCGGGCCCCTCTATACAGGGTAGCCCGGCAGAGCCTTTGTGCTCACCCACTGGTGCCAGGGGTCCAGCACCAGCTGCGCGGGTCTCTGACACCACCCCACCCCCTGCCTGCTCTCCCCAGGATTCTGGGTGCTGACTCCCAGGACCAAGCAGACGGCGCCCCTCGCCCTGGCTGCGTCCCAAGGCCACACCGACTGCGTCCGCCACCTGATCCAGCAGGGAGCTGAGCTGGACGCCCGCGTGGGGGGCCGAGCCGCCTTGCACGAGGCCTGCGCCGGAGCCTGGTCCGACTGCGTGCGGCTGCTGCTGACCTTCGGCGCCAGGGCCAATGTGCTGTCCAAGGAGGGCCTGACCCCCCTGCATCTCTGCACTACCCCTGAGTCCTTGCTGTAGGTGCCCAGGTGACCCCTTGGGGAAGGGGTACATGTGTGAGAGAGCGAGAGCGGGCTCACACAGGAAGAGGGAAGCCCCTCCGGTACACATCCTCATAAGCACCCAAGGGGCCTCCTGTGGCCAGGGAAACAGTCTCAGAAAGGGGGAGCAGGGGCTGGGGAGACGGTGCAGGCCAAGGTTCTGTCCTCGCAAACAGCCAATCAGGGTTCAGTTGCTGGCACCACATATGGCCCGTCCTTCCAAACAGTGCCAGGAGGAGTGATCCCTGAGTGCAGTGGCATGTGGCCCCCAAAACAGAACAAGCAAAGGGTAAGTGATGTGTCCAAGAGTCTCTCACTAAGCCTTGAGGCAGAAGCCCTGTTGCGTTCTGGGGTGACCTTGTTTCCAGAACCCTCTATCACCATACTCCAGGCCATCTGGAGGAAGAGACCTGGTTGGGGCCCTCTGCTGCTTCCTCTTCTCTTTTCCATCGTTTCTCCCACCCCCTGCCGAGCTGTTTGCTCATTTACAACCTGGCCACCGCCTGCCTGGCTGGGCAATGGTCCTGGGAGACACCCAACAGCTCACGAGCCGGGCACCTTTCTCTGCTTTGACCAGCTCTGGGGGTAGCACCTGGAGTGGTCTGAATTTTCCAGCCCCACTCAAGTTCTGAGCACATAATTTTCAAAAAGACTATTTTGTTGGGAGGGGGAGCTACACCAGGGATGCTTACGGGTTGGTCCTGGAGGTGCTCAGGGATCAGTGCACGGCAAGCGGCTTAACCCTCAAACTATCTCTCTGCTCCCTACAAACGACCTTTTAGGGAGAAGGTTTGGGCCACACCCAACTGTGCAGAGTTTACTCGTAGCTTTTTGCTCAAGGGTCCCTCCTGGCCATGTGCAGGGGACCATCTGGGGTGCCAGGGATTGAACCAGGATCAGTAGTATGCAAAGCAAGCGCCTTAACCCCCGTACTATCTCCCAAAAGATGTGTTTTACATTAAAGAGTTCTATCGTTCTATGCACTTGAACTTGGTGTTATTTAACTTTTTTAGTATATTTGGAAACAAAAATTAACTCGTGGGCCGGGGACCAAGTTATAGTACACCGGGGAGGGTGCTTGCCTTGCACAAGGTCAACCTGGGTTCGATCCCCAGCATCCCATATGGTCCCCCAAGCACCACAGGACTGATTGATCCCTGAGTGCAGAGCCAGGAGTAAACCCTGAGCACTGCTGGGTGTGTCCACCCCCCACCAAAAAAAAAAAAAAAAAAAAAAAAACAAGAAAAAGTAGAAATTCAGAAGTTGACATGTAGCTGGCTGCTCACATATCCCCCTTGGTTATCAGAGTCCCCTTGGGGTAGATACTGCCCTCTGACTGGCCATTCTGAATTATAAGTTACTGTTTAACTTTGTTTTGGCTGAGCTGGGGACCAAGCCCAGGGCCTCACATAAGGTGAGGGGGTGCTCTCCTACTGAGTTCCATCCTTGGTTGTTTGTTTCATTCCTCCCCCCACTTTATTTGGGGGGGGTGCCCACACCTACTCATGCTCCCTACCAGTTTCTCTTATAGGTGGAGTTTGTTGTGCGTTTGCTTTACCCCACTTGTGTTGACGATGGATGGATGTGTATTTACCTCAGCGAGGTCCTGGCTTAAGGACTCAGGACGGAGTCCAGCAATGAAGTACTTGCCTCGCCAGAGTGAGACCCTGAGTTCAAGCTGTGGCACCACCAAGCAAACAAAAAGTTCCAGGGCTAATCCCAGCTTCCCGCTGCAGAGTCACCCCTGGCAGCACTTGGGGGGGACGTATGTGGTGCTGCGGATTTGAACCAGGCGGCCCACATGGAAGGCAAGAGCCTTACCTGCTGTAGTATTTTTTTTTCTCCCGCCCTCATACTGGAATTTTCGATGCTTTCTAGTGTTGTGGATTTTCAAAATTCTGCTGTCCCAACGTCCAGAGATTCATGACAAGTGATTTAGTGCCAGACCTTGAGTCCTGATCAGATAGGGTAACCCACTAAGGCTGGGGGTGCTGCCTGACATGGACAAGGTTGGGGACTTTACGCTTTTTTTTTCTTTTCTTTTTGGTATTTGGGTCACACCGGCAGTGCTCAGGGGGTTACTCACTCCTGGCTCTGCGCACAGGAATTAGTCCTGGTGGTGCTCGGGGAACCATAAGGAATGCAGAAGATCGAACCCAGGGCAGCAGAATACAAAACAAGCACCTTCCCCTCTGGGCTTTTTGTGTCCTTGGCCACAAGACCGCTCCCCTGGATTGACTGTTCTTGAGGACTCCGATGGCCCTTCGAGCTGGGGCTTGTGCCAGCTGGGCATCAGGCTGGACACCAGTGTGGGGGGCTGAATGGGAAGGGGAGGGGTACGGGCCCGGGAGGGCGGCAGGCTGGGCCCTGGGCCCTCCGGACTTACCCCAGGCCTCGGCCCTGACCCCAGGTGTGCCAAGCTGCTGCTGGAGGCGGGTGCTGAGGTGAACCTGGCGGCGCGGGACAGCGAGGCCACGGCCCTGCACGTGGCGGCGGCGCGAGGCCTGGAGGCGCACGTGGCGCTGTACCTGGAGCGCGGCGCGGACGTGGCCCGCCGCACCATGCAGGGCGAGACGGCGCTGAACGCGGCGTGCGCGGCTGCCGAGGGCCCCGACGGACCGCACCAGGCGGTGGCCCGACGGCTGCTGGAGGCCGGGGCCGACCCCCGGGTGGCCGGGCGCAAGCGCCACACACCGCTGCACAACGCCTGCGCCAACGGTTGCGGGTACCTGGCCGAGCTGCTGCTGCGCCACGGCGCCTGTGCCACGGTGCGCAACGCAGCGGGCCACACACCCATGGACTGCGCACTGCAGGCCGTCGAGGACGTCCCGAGCCCGGAGCCCGAGGTCCTCTTCGCGGCGCTGCTGGACTATGGGGCCCCACCGGTGCACCCCGAGGTACCTTGGGGAGAGTTCGGTCTGGAGGCCCCAAGTCTCTGCTGTTATCAGGGAGCGGGCGGGGGGGGGGGTGGGGGCGGTGGGGGGGGGCGGCTCTTCAACCACAGGCCGGCCCACTCCTCCCATGTGGAGATAATCAGGGAAGGAAATGGGAAAGGGAGGAAATACTGCCCAGGGGCCATGTGGAGCCATGGGGTTGGAGCTCTTTAGGGCGGGGTAAACTGAGGCAAGGAGCAAGGCTATGGAGTGGTTAGTGAGATTTGTAGGTTTGTTTGGTTTGGGTTTGGGTGGGGATGGGGGTTGAACCACTCCCAGCGGTGCTCAGGGCTGACTCCTGGCTCTGCACTTAGGGATCATTCCTGCTGGCCTCATGGGACTGAACTCCATCAGGGACCTGAGCGATAGTATAGCATAATGGGTAGGGTGTTTGCCTTGCATGTGGTGACCTGGTTCAGTCCCCGGCATCCCATTTGGTACTCCAAGCATTGCCAGGAGTGCTCCTGAGTGCTGAGCTGGGAGTACCCAAAATGGGAAAATAAAAAAGGAAAGGAAAATGAACCCAGGTCAGCCAGCAGTGCCCTGCCCACTGCACTGTGGCTTCTGGTTAGTGGGCTTGGTTGGAGGGGGTCTGCCCTGGGCCAGGGGGTGGGGGGCCACTGCTCTCACACTGTCCCTTCCCAGAAGCTGCAGCTCTGTGCCAACTGTCCCCGGGCGCTGGAAGTGCTCCTGAATGCCTACCCACAGGTGCCTCCAGACAGCGGTTGGGCAGGGGCCGTGCCCCCTGAGTTGTGGAAGGTACGGCCACTGAGGCCAAGCTCTGGGGACAGGAAGGAGGTGCCCCGGGCCTGTCATCTAGCACGGGCTTCCCTGAGGGAGGAGAGGAAGGGAGGGCCTTTGGCTGCACACCTCTTCAGCCTCTTTCTTTTGGGGGCATCTCAGATTCAGCAGCCCGTCCCCCCATCACAGCAGCGTCTTCAGGGTGGGTGGGCACGGACGTGGCTGAGCCCCTAAACTGCCCCCATCCCCCACCATGCCTGTCTGGCTCTGAATCCGAAGGCTTCAAGGTGCAGCAAACACAGGTGAGGTTCATACTACAAAACCTCAGGGGTCCCAGGTAGAGGTCACCCCCAGAGGAAGAGCGCAGTCCTAGGATGTGGGGCCATCTGACGGCGCCCATCTCCTGGCCTAGGAGCACGAAGCCTTCTACAGCTCTGTCCTGAGCATGGAGAACCAGCCGCGGCGGCTGCAGCACCTCGCCCGACTGACCGTGCGTGCCCAGCTGGGGGCGCGATGCCGCCTGGCTGCTGCCCGCCTCCCACTGCCCCCAGGGCTCAGGGCCTACGTGCTGTTGCGAGTGGAGGGGAGCATTCAGTGAGCCCCACTGGCTGTGCCCTGCGCTCATCCTGCCCTGTCCTCTGTCCCTCATCTGCCTGCTGTGTTACCTGTGCCTTCTGTTGGGGTGACAGACCATGACCCCTGCCCTCCGTCGCCTTAGAGATGAAAAGGACACTTCACTGACCAGATGACCTCCATGTCCTTCAAAGGCGCTGGCACCATCCTGGGATGCACGGTTCCAGCAACGCCCTATCTGGGCCATCACCATGCGGGGACCCCAGCAGGAATTCCCAGCTCCCAGCTCAGGTTCCCTGGAGTCCCCGCCCAAGCTCCTTGTCTCCCACCCTAATAAACTGGCTGTTGCTGGCTGCTAAGACTCTCTCCTTTGCTTCTGGGAGTCTGTGCGTGCTGGTCCCTCTGCTTGGCTGTCCTTCCCCTGAGCTGGGCCTCCTTGAGGCTGGCGGGCCCAGCAGCTCTCTCTGTTCAGCCTCATTCCTGCCTGTGCTTTCAGGCTGGCATTTCCTTGACAGTCATGATTGTTGGCTGGAGCAATAGCACAGCAGGTAGGGCGTTTGCCTTGCACACGGCCCACCCGGGTTTGATTCCTCCGCCCCTCTCGGAGAGCCTGGCAAGCTACTGAGAATATCCCGCCTGCACAGCAGAGCCTGGCAAGCTCCCCGTGGCGTATTTGATATGCCAAAAACAGTAACAGCAAGCCTCACAATGGAGATGTTACTGGTGCCTGCTTGAGCAAGTCGATGAACAATGGGGGCACAGTGCCACAGGGACAGTGCTACAGTGCTAATGATCGTTAGGGAAGGTTACATGTCTGCCTGAGACCTCTTTATGTCCCCCTTCCCCAGGGATAGGGATCCAGGGTGCCCCTAAACAGGGGTCACTACACTGATGGCTTTTGGAGGCCTATGACAGCAAGGCAGGTCACCAGCTGTCCCCATTCTCACTTCCTCCTCTGGTCCCCAGAGTCATACGGACCATCATTTATGGCCCAGGGATGTGACTCAGTGGTAAAGCCCTTGCCCAGCATGTGTTAGGCCCGCATTCTATCCCCAGCACCACATGACCCCCGCCCCCACAAACCAAAAAAAGTACCACATTCATTGTTAGGAGCAAGCTTCCCGAGTCAAGGCCCTGTTGTTTATTTTGTTTTGGGCCCACACACAACAGTTGGCAGAAACAGCTGTCCCCTTGCTCTGGGCTCAGGGATCACTCCTGGGGTGCTGGGGAACAAATATATTAGGGGAGGAGATGGCGGAAGTGTTAAAGCACATGTCTTGACCTGTGCAAGACCCTGAACTCGGTCTCTGAAACCACCAGCACCACCAGGTACATGCCCAGGGGCCCCCAAATACCACCATCTGGACACTGTTAGTTGTGGTCCCTATAAAAAAAATAACAAAAGTATTGAAGACAATTTATTTTCTATTTTTTCAGAGTTAGCGGTGCCCAGGACTTACTCCTGGCTCTTTGCTCAGGGATCACTCCTGGCAGGGCTCAGAAGATCATATGGGATGCGGGGATAGAACTCAGGTCAGCCATGTGCAAGGCAAGTACCCTACTATAGTACCCCAGTACTATCACTCCAGCCCCCTAAAACAATTTAAATGTCCATCTGAATGAGACAAGTAAATATTACGATGCCAGAAAGAAGGCAAAGCATGGCAAAGCAAGCTTTGCATGCAGGAGGCCAGGGTTCGATCCTCAGTACTGCTTGAAGTAGCCCCTGAGCACTCCAAGGAGTTCTCCCCTTCCTCAAAAAAACAAAAAAAACTTTATATATATATATATATATATACATATATATATATATATAGAGAGAGAGAGAGAGAGAGAGACCTGGATGACTTTAGTATATTTATTTTGGTTTTTGGTTTTGGGGTCATTCCTGGCAGTGCTGAGGTCTTATTCCTGGTTCTGCACTCAGGGATCACAGATCACTCTCGGCAGAGCTTGGGTGACCATATAGGGTGCCAGGGATCGAACCCAAGTTTGCCATATGCAAGGCAAGCACCCTACCCACTGTACCTGTACTATCATTCTGGCCCCTGATTTTAGCATATTTTGGACAATTACTTAATCTGTAAAAGGAACACAATAAAAGCTACTTTATAGAATTCCATGAATGTGTTTGAAGTATTTAAGGCACTTGGCATCTAAAATTTAAGAAGCTCTTTTTCTTTTTTTTTAGTCACCCCTAATGATACTCAGGGGTTACTCCTGGCAGTGCTTGGGAAACCATATGGAATGCCAGGGCTTGAACCCAGATCAGCAGCATGCAAGGCAAATGCCCTACCCACTGTATTATCGCTCCAGCCCCTGAAATTTCAAAATCTTTAACAGTTATTCAACTCAGTTTCATTCTTTCAAATGCTTATAGAGAGGCCTTGAACCAGTTGTTCTCTGTGTTTAGTACTTTGCTTGGCAAATCTCTACTCAAAATTCTGTTTAGTTGTATCCTGACCTATCTTGTGTTCTTCAAAATAAAAACACTAAAGCTTTTTTTTTTCTTGTTGCTGTTTTGGGGTTTCACCTGTCTGCTTAGGGCTTACTCCTGATTCTGTGCTCAGAAATCACTGCCAAAGGACCATATGTTGTGCTGGGGATCGAACCCAAGTTGACCACATGCAAGACAAAAAAAACATTTCCTGCTAAAACACTAAAGTTGTTTGTGTGTTAACATAGACAGTACATGTGCACAGAAGTACAAGGCCCTGGGCTCAATCTCTGGGAAAACGCATGCACCTACAGATGCAAGAAGAAAAAAGTATCCTCGCACTTTCTGTTTGTCTGTGGCAGCCCGGACTGAATGGGGAAATACAAAAGAGAAAAGAAAAAAATCAGACTGGCCATCTCCTGCATTTAAATAAACTAAAGTGAAATAATATATTTAAATTTCTGTCTTTTGTTATCATTCTCAGCACCACTATTACTAAGATATTCTGGTCTGACCTTCAGAAGTTGGGATGAGGAATGTAGCTGAATGGTAGGGTGTGAGTTCACAAAGCAGCGTGTGGGTGCTGCTGTGACGTGTGTGCATTCGGTGGCCGAGACCGCCTCCCATCCTCCCCAGGCCTCCCCAGCAGAGAGACAGAGAGACGGGACTACAGCCTGATGGTGAAAATGGTCCGTTTAATGCAGAGCTGCCAGCATACTTATAAAGCATCTGAAGGGGTGAGAGGTGTAGGACTGTTTGTCTGTGTGATTTATAGAGGTAAAACATTCCAGCAGAGGCAATTCTCTGGGAGAGATAAACTCAAGGAGACGCTCTGTCTTCCAGGGATATCTATATTGTTTTTCTCTATCCTTCAAGTCGTATATATATCAAACAATTCAGTCAAACAGTCAAACAATGAATTCTACTTCTTACCAATATCCCGGCCGATCCGGGTTCGATTCCTCTGCCCCTCTCGGAGAGCCCAGCAAGCTACCGAGAGTATCTCACCTGCACAGCAAAGCCTGGCAAGCTACCCGTGAGGTATTCAATATGCCAAACACAGTAACAAGTCTCACAATGGAGACGTTACTGGGCCCGCTTGAGCAAATTGATGAACAATGGGAGGACAGTGTAAAGTGCTACAGTGCTACCAATACTCGCAGTCGTTTGGATAAACACAGTAAGAGAAAGATCCCAAAACTTAGTTCTCTGGGCTCTGAGAACAAGGGAGTGTTTTACCGTAAATCCCAGACTAAGCCCTCAGGCCAGTTCAGTTTATCCTTTCTGACGGGGGTCCTGACTCTTAAGTCATAACAGCTTGCACCAAGATCATGCATTTCTAGAATGTCTTATTAGATGCCGAGTAGCTTTGCCATTCGCCCCGGGTCCATCCCAGTCCCATGGCGGGACTTCCCTTTTGGGGTGTTAGGAACTATAGCAACTGAAGCCTGAGTCAAGTAATTATGACCAAGTAATTATGTGCAGGAGTAGATATATTTAAGAGTCAGTCAACTCACCAATATCAGGAACATAGCATCAAGGTCTTTCTGTGTTTAAGCAAAGAACATTGCTCTATAGTAAAATATGAAAAGGCTATAGGGGAAATAGAAAAGCAAGTAATTCACTACAAATACAAAATCCAGAATTCCCAGAAAGTTTTGATTTATAAGTAACCAAGATTAACTTGGGGAACTGTGACAACGAGGTGTAAAACACAAAGGAACGGTTAAAGATAAACTCGGAGGTTTGGGATGCTCACATGAGCACTGAGCTCCGCTGGGAGGAGGAAAAGGGGCAATTCACTGATGAAGCCTAAAACACATAGGATTAGTATCCAACAGTAGGCCATGTGCTTCCCAGTTGTGAGGTTCCAGGTTTGTGATTTCCAGCAGGAAAACAGAGTGGGCCAGTCCTCAACGACAGAGGAAATTTCTTCAAATGTTTTTCCTGGCCGTCCCTTTACTTTCTCATTTTGTCACCTCTGCGGAAGGCATATACATCTCACTAATTTAAATTTTTACTGTATCTCTAGTTTTTTTTCTATTTTTTCCATTTTCCCCTTTATGTAAAAGCTGTGGTTTACCAAGTTGTTCATAATACAATTGTTACAGGCATTCACTGTTCCAATACCAATCCCACCACCAATGTGACCTTCCCTTTACCATTGTCCCCATTTTTCCAACCATCCCCCAAACCTTCCCCTTAGCAGGCACAAAAAAAAAACCCCAAAAAAGTGCACACACACACACACACACACACATACACACATACATATCTAGAAGTGCCCAATTCAAGCTATCCTACTGACAGATTTTCACAAACTTGAAAAAAGAGGATGCTAAGGAAATAGCTCAAAGAACCACATGTAGGAGGCCTGGGTTGGTTCGGTAAGAGGTATGAGGTATGAGGGAACCTGGGGTTCTATTGATTGTGGAATTGTGTGGCCCCAGGAGCACTGCTGGCAACAACCAGGAGCACTGACCCCCAAAACCAAGCTGGGAGTAGTCCCTAAAGCTACCAGGTTTGACTACAAAGCAAAACAAAAAGTACATATATTAGAAGGTTAAACAGAATCTTTCATCTCACAAACACACTCCTGATCAAAAGAAGCCCGATGAAAGAATGTAAAAAGCGACTCAGAGACTCATACAGGAGTGCTCAAACCAGCATTAGTCACAATAGCTCACAGATGGAAACAAACAAAAAAACAAAAAGAGAGAGAGCCAGGGAGATCTCTAGCCTAACAGGTTGGATTACATGCTTTGCATGCAGGAGGCCTGGGTTTGATCCCCAACACCACAGAATTCCCCAAGCACTTCCAGAAGTTACCCCTGAGTTCTAAATTGAAGGTAGGCCCTGAGTACCACTGGGTGTAACTCCCAAAACAAAGCCATTCAAATTATTCCTCTTTTTCATTTTTGTTTTTGGGCCACACACGGTGGTGCCCAGAGCTTACTCCTGGCTCTGCATTCAGGGACAACTCCTGGTGGGGCTTGGGAGACCACATGGGGTGATGGGGATCAAACCTGGGCCAGTCACATGCAAGGCAAGCACCCTCCCTGCTCTATCATCACTTTTTTTTTGCTTTTTTTGGGGTCACACCCAGCGATGCACAGGGGTTACTCCTGGATCTTCACTCAGGAATCACTCTTGGCAATGCTCAGGGGACCATATGGGATGCTGGGATTCGAACCCGGGTTGGTCACGTGCATGGCAAACACCCTACCCTCTGTACTATTGCTCCAGCTCCTGTACTATCATTCTTGAATGGGGTGCTTAGAACAAATTCCTAGGACAGAAAAAAAGGGAAGTGAAGAAGGCATTACTGTTTAGCCAGCACAGGACTACCACTGTGCTAAGGATGAAGAATGTACTTAAAAGCCACTGAATTTGGGCCTGGAGACAGTACAGCAGGGAGAGCTCTTGTCTTGCATATGATTCCATCCCAAGCATCACATAGGTTTCTCCATGCCCAGTCAGGAGTAAGCATGGAGCACCAGGAAGTGTGCCCACCCTCCAAAAAAAAAAAAAACCCTTCTGAATTAGTCATGTAAAGTCCTTAAAGTGGTGGTAATTATCAAGTATACTTTACTATCATAAAGATTTTTAAATGGGACTGGAAAAAGCTCAGGTGTTGAGGGCAGGCTTTGGATTCAGGAGGTCCAAGTTTGATCCCCAGCACATCAGAGCATGCCCTGGACCACAGAGCTGGGAGAGCCACCAGCAGCCGGGATGTGTCCCCCAAATCACATACAACCAAACAATAAATAAAAAACCGGATCAGAGATAGGACAATCAGTAGGGTGTTTGCCTTGCTGACGGTAAACCCGTGTTCAATCCCTGGCACCCCGTATGATCCCTTGAGCCCCACCAACAGTGATCCCTGAGCACAGAGCCAAAAGTAAGCCCTGAGCACTGTGGGTTGGTGGGCGTGGCTCAAAATAGATCCCACCCCGCCCCTACACACACAAAACAAAAAGAGGAAGCCAGTTGAACAGTACAGCAAGTCAGGCGCTGGCTACCCTACCCAGGTACACCGCCTACCCAGTTACGATCCCTGGCACCTCATACGGTCCCGCAAGCGAGCCAGAAGTAAGCCTGGAGCAAAGCTGGGTGTGGCCCCAAGACAAAAAAAAATTAAAAGGACTTTGAAAAAGAAAAGAGACAACAAAGTACCGTTTGATTCCATTTATACAAAGTACAAAACCAGAAAACCACGACGACTGTAGCCAGAGTAGTGAGCACTCCTTGGAAGCTATTAACTGAAAAGAGAGTAACAAAGGGCTTCAAAGTTTATTTTTTGTTTCTTGTCCTAAGTGCTGGTTCCACCAGTGTGTTGATTTGATGAAAATCACGGAGCTTTTTGCTTATGAACTTGCCCCTCTGCACTATTTCTGCTTCGAAATTCACCAAAAAGCAACATCCCCCTCACATATTAAAAGAAAAAGTACTTGTGAAATCTTTGGATAAAGTTCTTGGACGCTGAACTTTTTCTTCCCGTCTTTTCTGAGCTCCGGTTTTTCTTGTATCTCAAACTGCGCCGAACCTGAGCCCTATTTACCAAGTTCCCACACGCCTGAAGTTCCATTCTCGGAACTCCAGATGAGCTGATGACTATACTTGCCTCCTGCCTGTCTCCCGGTTAGTTTAGGGCTCTGGAGACCAGTCTTTACAGATCCCGCTACCCGCAGCGCGTAGTAGCAGAAGAGAGAAAAAAAAAAAATCAGCTCCCAGCTGGGAGCAAGGCCGGAAGTACAAGGCTGGGAAAAGGGAAACGCAGCGGCTCGCTCTCTGCCCACAAGTGCCAGTCCGCTAGGGTTTCCACGAGCGAAGCCACGCCCCCGCCAAGCCACACCCACCTCATCTGGGCCCCGCCTCAGTTCGGTTTAACAGGCCACGCCCCTCACCGCGGCCTTAGCGGGCCACGCCCACCAGTGGGCGTGGTCTGCAACGAAAAGGCCGACATCCCGCCAATAATGACCCCGCCCCTCGTCCAGCGGCGAAACCGGTCCCTTTTATTTAAAGAATTCGTTTACGTCAGCCCGCCTTACGTAGCTTTGCGTCATCAGTGCTAGGCGTGGAGGCGGGACTTCCGGTCGCGGGTTCTAACAGCTTCCGGGAGAAGCCGGAAGAGACCGGACCCGGGCAGAATCGGGGATCGCCAGCCCCTCCCCTGTCCCCTGTGGAAAGGTGAGTCCACGGGCCCTCCTGGCGAAGTCAAAACACTCAGCCTTGCTTTTTCAGGTGAGGCTCTCCTTCCCTAGGCGGCACAGGACCGGCCCGAGCGCCCTTTAATTTCCCATGACTCCTCGCGTACCCAGGCCCCGCCCCCGTCCTCCTGGCCCCGCCCCGAAGCTTGAGGGGTGTGGATGGTTTGTGACCCCCTCGCCCGCCTCTCCCCCTGACGGACGCGAGCGCTTGCCTGGAGCCCGCGCCCTGGGCCCCGGCCGCCGCGCGGCGTGCGCCCTCGGACCCCGCCCGGCGCCGCGCGCCGCGTTCGCCTCGGAGAAGGCGGAGCCGGGGACCCCTCCTCAGGCGCAGGGAGTCGAGGCCTCCGCGGCCGAGCCCCGGGCTCCGCGCCGACCCTTCCCGCCCCAGTGCCCCGTCTCGCGTCTGCTCGCTCTTTTCCTGCCGCCGGGTCGATGACAGTCACCTCTCCCCGCCGTGGGGGTTTGTTGTGAGAGTGACGAGTAAATACCGCTGCCATCTGTTTAACCGGACGGTGCGCAACGTGCCAGGCGTTGTGCTAAACGTTGTGTCTCCATGATTTCCAGTCGTCTGCAGAGGAACCTCCTGAGGTAGGTCTTCGCCCCAGTTCGCGGATGAGAAAGCTGAGGTGGCCAAGGTTACGGAGCCGGGGAGCGGCGAACCGGGACCTGCCCGCGCCGCCGCCCCGGGCCCAGTCGCTCAGGAAGGATGTCAGGTCGCACAGGTGTAAGCGCCCGTCTGCCCTGGGCGCGCCCGGGAGCTTCGGGGCTCCAGAGGGGCAGCCGGGACCCCACCTGCCTGTCCCCGACTCTGCCGAGGGAGGAGCTGCACAGCCTTGGGTGTTTGTGGGGGGGTCCAGGGAGCTCGCGTGGAATCTTCCAGGTCCCTTCCCCTCGAGAGTGGTTTGCAGTTCTGAGGGGCGCCGCTGGCCCCCGGGCCCACCAGGGTTGCAGGAGACAGACGGTCTGCAGTGTCTCTTCAGCATCCCCGTGGGCGGCCGGGCTCTCCTCCCGAGGAGGCCGGGTTTCTCTCCATCTGGAGGAGCTGTTAGGGCAGCCTCGGGGTTCAGAGGTGGTCCCGCCCCGTACCTCTCTGGGGGCCTGAGTCGGGAGAGGAAGCAGGTGGGACCAGGCGGGGAAGCCGCATCCTCAGCGGTGGCCGGGGCTTCCGGTGTGGGGAAGGTGCGTTTCCCCTTGCACGGGACCCTCCGTGCCCGTGTGTCCCTCCAGGGCCTGGTTGGGCAGACAAGAACGGCTGGCGGTGAACCTGGCTCTGACGCTCTTCCCCCTCCTGTCCCCGCAGCGTGGACCCGGTCAGCAGCCAGGCCATGGAGCTGTCTGATGTCACCCTCATCGAGGGGGTGGGGAACGAGGTGACAGTGGTGGCGGGCATGGTGGTGCTGATCCTGGCCCTGGTCCTGGCCTGGCTCTCCACCTACGTCGCCGACAGCGGTAGCAACCATCTCCTGGGCACGATTGTGTCAGCGGGCGACACCTCTGTCCTCCACCTGGGGCACGTGGACCACCTGGTGGCCGGCCAGAGCACCCCCGAGCCAGCCGAGCTCTCCCACCCGTCGGAGGGACACGAGGAGAAAGCTGACGAGGCGGGCGAAGGTGGGGGCGACTCTGCCGGGGAGCCCGGCGCCGGGGGTGGTGTGGAGCCCAGCCTGGAGCATCTGCTTGACATCCAAGGGCTGCCCAAAAGACACGCGGGCCCCGAGGGCAGCGGCCCCGACCCCGCCGTGCGAGCTGAGGAGAGCGCTGGCCTCATCAGCGTGCGGCTCAAGTTCCTTAACGACACGGAGGAACTGGCGGTGGCCAGACCCGAGGATACCGTGGGTGCGCTCAAGAGGTGAGTGGGCTGGGAAGGGGGTGCTGGGACAGGAGAGCCAGTGCAGCTCCTTCCGGAGGGAGGGGCTGTCTCCCGGAGACACCTGGCCCCCCGTGCATCCCTGCTTCTGGGGCCCCACCTGCTGCCTGCTCATCCCTGCCTGTCTCCTCACCCTTGCAGTAAGTACTTCCCTGGACAAGAGAGTCAGATGAAACTCATCTACCAGGGCCGCCTGCTGCAAGACCCAGCCCGCACCCTGCGCTCCCTGAACATTACAGACAACTGTGTCATTCACTGCCACCGCTCGCCCCCAGGCACTGCTGCCCCGGGCCCCTCAGCTGCCCTGGGCCCCTCCTCGACCACAGAGCCGCCCAGCCTGGGCATCAGTGTGGGCAGCCTCATGGTGCCAGTGTTTGTGGTGTTGTTGGGGGTGGTCTGGTACTTCCGGATCAATTACCGCCAGTTCTTCACAGCGCCTGCCACAGTCTCCCTGGTGGGGGTCACGGTCTTCTTCAGTTTCCTAGTATTCGGAATGTATGGACGATAAGGACGGGGGAATGAAAGGCATGGTCTTCCTCCGCAGCTGCCCCACTTTCCTGACCAGAGCTGGGCCCAAGGGCCTGGGAGGGAGGGATGGAAAGGCCGGAGGGTCCTCTCTGCAGGACCGGGAGGCAGGTGGGGGGCCTCCCGGCATATCCACGAGGGGACCACCTGCCCCTCCAAGCACAACCCAGAAGCAAGGGTGTCATCTTCCTTCACTTGTTAAGTCCTAAGGGACAGAGGTGGGCTGGTGGCCCTGCAGAGTGGGGAGCTGGGTTCTGAGGACCCCTCCTGGCTGTGGCCCTCGCTCTCCCTATTGTCCTGCATGCCCACTAGTCAGCACCCCAGGGTGGTTGTGGGGCGCTCAGCATGGCCTGTCTGCTCAGGCAGGGAGCCGGGAGCAGTGTCAGTCCACCAGAATCGTCTCCTGACATCCAAGTCCCACAGGCAGGCTGCGCTCGCAGGTCTCTGTCTGCCCCGCAGGAGGACTGCGGTGGTCTCCCTTTTATCAAAGCACTTTGCTTGTTTTTTTCTTTCTTTTTTAATAGTCCTTTATAGAACTCAGTCAGGGGACTGGGGCACAATGCCAAGCCCCCAGCATTGGGAGAGGCCAGGCCACAGCTGCTGCTACCCTAGGCCTAAGGCTGTAAGCAGGAGACTGCTCTGGCCCCCAGCCAGCGCCCTACCCTGCCTGGCTCCAAGGATGAGGCAGGGTATGGAACTTTGGGCCCTAGGCCCTTGCCTCTCCGGGACTCCTGGAGGGTCAACACCCATGACTCAATAAAGTTCAATTTTGTAGCTGTGACGCATCTTTCTGTGACACTAGAGTGACTGCTCTGTTCCCCACCACCAAGGCAATGAGGGCAGGTAGACTGGGCTACCAACGGGAGATGCATTTATTTACACCAGCAGCCATGGGGGCAGGGGAGATACACAGCGCTTACAAAGTTAGCTACCTGTACAGGATGGATTACATATGCAAAAATAAAAATCTCAAGACCACAGGACAGCGTGAGCCCCACCCCCCTCCCCCAATGACCCCAGCATGCGGTAATGCCAGGCGGGTGGCCCCTGGGCATGCGGGGGGGAGTGATGCATGGAAGGAAAAGCCACCGGCCATGGAAATTAGTACAGAACCCCCCCACACACACTCAGACACATGATAGGATACAGGGTGGACAACACCTAGCCAGGGCGGGGGGGAGGATGGGAACTGACACCCACAGAGCCTGCTGTTATAAAGAGGGAGGGGAGGGGAGGTCCTAGCCCCTATCGACTACATGGGGGTGGGGGGGGGCACATTCTCCCCGGAAAGAAAAGGGTTTGCTCCCTCAGGGTTCCTGCTAGACCAAGCCCATCGCTTACCCAGCCTGGGCAGGGGGCTCTGCCCTGAGGGCGGGCCAAAAACAATGGGGAAGTTGATGTGGACAAACCAGTTCCCAAACTGCTTCCCACTCTTCCCTCCTCCAATCAGAAGAGGGAGGTGGTGAGGCCAGAGGGGAAGGGAAGGGTCTGCGGGGCCTGAGCTGCCTCTAAGGTAGTGACCAGGGCCTGCCTCCCTTCACCTGCACCCCGTCCCCAGGCTTGTGTAAGGTTGGTAGGTCGGGAGCAGGCTGAAGGCTCACCAAGATCCTCTGCTTTCCCCTGGAAGGGAGTCGAAGGTCAAGAACACAGGAACCCAGGCCCCAGGATTTAGTCTGAACTCCTGCCAATGTTGTTTGGCTTTCTAAAAAATAATCACAATTCTTGGGCTAAAAACCAATTTGTAACCAGGTGTCAGCTGCAATCTGAACCACCCCAGGGAGAGAATGGGGTTCTGACAGGGCATTCCTGCCCAGTCTCTCTGTTCCCTTAACCCTCTAGGGTCCCTAACCCCAATCGGTCCAGCCAGTCCTGGGTACTAGCTACCCAAACCTGGGATGGCTCTTCGGGGCAGAGGGCAGGGGACCGTGGCTCAGGGCCCGCTCCATCGCCGACACTGTTCCCAGCCCGCGCTGCCGGACAGTGGAGGCGGGGTGGTACATCTCTTCCGGATGTAGACCAGGCAGGTGAGTACACTGGCATGACCGTCCCGGAGGGCAATGCCGAGGCATGGCACCCTTTCCTTCTCCACTGACAACCCTGATCAGAGGAGACCCCCCTCTTCTCCCTCCCCAACCCACTCTCAGCCAAAGGGGAAGAGGTAAAAGAGACTAGGATTTTCCTCAGAGCCCCAAAACCACAAGTACAGAATAAATAACTTAAAAGCGGCTACGGGAAGGGAAAGAGGGCAGGCTTGGGCGGCAGGAGCATCCGGGAGGAACTGAAGCTGGTCGGGGGGTGGGGGGGGGGGGTGGCAAGCAGCAGTTGGGAACTTGGGCTGCCCCGGTAGGGCAGTGGGGCAGGGTAGGCAGGAGGAACGTGGGGCCACCCCAGGAGGGTGAGGCTGGGCCCCTTCCTGGGGCAGGGAATGAGGTAAGAAAACATTTCAAATAAAGCAGCACCGTTCCCTCTCCCCTTGGGGCCCCCGCTCCTCACCAGCCCAGGTCAGGGAGGAGAGGCGAGGGGAGTCACTTTGACATCCAGCTCCCTCTTCCTACCCTCGCCTCGCCTGTTCCTTGAAGCTGTTGAGGCCGGGGGCCCTTTCCTGGAACCCAGCCACACAAGGACAGCTCCTGCTGCAGAGGAGGCCCGTGGGGACTGAGGGGAAGGGGCTGCCCCTGTGAGGGGCAGGGATGGCGGTGGTGGATCTGGACGTCTGCCCCTGCAGACAGCTCGCTGTGCCTGCCTGCCTGCCCCTGGGGCGCGGGGCATGCACGCGGCAGAGTCTGCACAGACAGGGCGCGCGCACCCAGCCCTGCCCCTCAGCTCCAAGCACCGGACCCATTCACATTGCTGAGGGCAGCTGGGCACGGCTCCCTCCAGGCTCAGCTTCCACCCACAGCTTCCCGGGGAGCAACCGTGCTCCTCGGCAGGGCTTAGTCCAGTTCCTGGGGTGGGGGGCAGGCAGTGCCCTGGCACTGTGCCCAAGTCAGGCCCCGGGCCTAGCTGGACATCCAGTAACTCACAGAATAAATAGGAAAACCGCCTCCCCACCAAACTTATGTCCAAGGCATAATATGTCCAGGTCTGAGTCCTGCATGCCGAGGGATCGTGCACCGTCGCAGAGGACCCTGCCACCCCCCAGGGGCGCATAACTGGATCCTCTGTCTGCCTGGCTCATCAAGCTTCCCGAGCCCAGACCCCCAGCAGCCGTCCATTCGCCAGGCTCTGCCACCTGGGCGGGGGTCTGGCAAGAGGGCTCCGCCCAGCCAAAGGCTATCCTTTGCACCCAAGTCAGTTGATGTCATCGTAGATGCTGGGCGTTGGGGGGGCCGGTGGCTTTGGCTTTTTCTTCTTGTTGGAGCCCAGGCCGGAGGCAGTCCCCACCAGGCTCAGATGGGATTTCTTCTTCTTGGTTTTCCGCGACTCGGAGCTGTTGGTACCTGAGTGAGGGGGCACAGCGGAGGAAGGTCAGGTGGCGGCAGAGAACGGTGTCAGGGGTTTTCTGGCCAGGCCCGGGAATGGCACCTACCTAAGCCCCACCCCTGGTTCTCACTCGTCTTAGAGGAGCCTGAATCGGAGGGTGAGAGGTCCGATGAGCCGTCCCACTGAAGGCGGCTGATCAGGGCCTGGCTGTCAGTCATGTCGAAGCTGTCGGTATCCAGGGAACTCTCCACCTCCGGAAGGACGCTGGGAAGGGGACAGCACGAGGAAGGCCGCGTGAAGGATCTGCATGCAGGATCTCGTGGGGACCTCAAGCCCCCTGAGCACCATCATGTGTGACCCAAAGCAACGCAGAAAGGGCTGTGGGGAATCCTTGCATAGCCCCAACACCCGACCTGGATGGTGGGTACTCACGCTGAGGGTCCGAGGAAATAAATGCGCACAGCTCGCCGCTGCTCATCCGTGTGCTGTGGGCAGCGCAGGGACCTGCAGGGGGGTGAACACCCAGACTCTAAGGAGGCGGCCTCTCCCGCTGGACAGGGAAGAGGGGAATGAAGAGCCCCAGACCCAGGCCCAACTTGGCCTAGCCTCAGGGGACCCTCCCCCACCTCCTGTTCTTGGCTCTGAGCTCACCTTGTGCACATCTTCTTGGTGTGTTCAGAAATCACCCCACATTGCTGGAAGAGAAAATACGATGAAAGGAGGCACGAAGGGAAACCCACTCTAGGCACAAACACTGGATTGCCTGAGCAGAGACGACCCCAAGGCAGCCACAGCAGATGGTCTCACACCACCAGATGCCCGAAAATCTAGTTCTAGAGAGAACTGCGGGACACAGTGGTCACCGGCTCCTCCGGGGCTCTGGCCCTTCCGCTTCCTCACCGTGGTCAGCAGGCTCCGCAGCTCCTCTGGCCCCAGGGTCTCATAGCTGATCCCAGTGGAGTTATTATACTGTGGATGGAGGAGAGGAAGAGGGCGGACAGGTCAGCTGGGCTGGACACAGGCGGTGTCCTTCCAGCTATCCCAAATGATGAGAGGAGGGGAGGGAGAGAGGGGGGCAAGATAGGGTGAGAAGGGAAGGAGAGAGGGGGGAGGGGAGAGGAGGAGGGGGAAGAAAAGGAAAGGAGAGGGAAAGGAGGGGGGAGAGAAGAGAGTGAAAGAGAGCACAGGAGAGAGTGAAGGGGGAAGGGGAGGGGGGGGGAAGAGGGAGGAAGGAGAAAGGAGGGGGAGAGAGAGAAAAGGGAGGATGGGAGGGAGGGGGAGCGTCCCTGGCTGAAGTTCTCTAAGCCCTGGAGCAGGAGTCCCACCCAGCCCTTGAGCCAATGAGGACTGCAGAGGGCAGCCCAGACTCACCTTAAAAGGATCCGAATTGCTAAGTTCCCCTGAAGAAGAAAAAAGAAGGGGAAGGGTGTTTGATGCAGAGGTACAGACAGAGAACCCTGAAAATAACCAGAGAGGAAGTGGGGGTGACAGAAGGATCACAGGCCCTCCCTCGATGCCCTGGTCTTCCCTCCAGCCCCGGATCTCCACCCTCCCCTGCGGCACTGACCCAGAAGACCCGGCCAGAATCCCTTCAGGTGCTCCTCCGGCCCCACTTACCGTTTTTGTGTTTTAAAGACTTGGATCTTCGAGGGGAATTAGGGTTCTGGAATGGGAGATACCATAGCTTTGGAGAAAGGGTAACGATAAGGGGGAGCCGAGAACCCAGGGAAGGAAAAAATATTTGACAAAGAAATATCCTCAAGTTCCTCTTTGTCCCCCAGGTCTCCCAGTAAGCCACCTGTAGGCCCACAGGCCTCCCTGGTACCCCGAAGGCCTCTGCTTCCCTCCCGCCCCCCCCCATCCCCAAACCCTGAGAGGTACCCAGTGACCTCAGACTTGAGTCAAGACCCCTAAGGACTCCCTGCCCCCCCAGGGAGGGCATGGGTCCTTTGCCCAAATTTCCCTTAGGCTTGTCCAGGATCTCACCTTGTCTGACTTCCTCTTCTTGGCTGTATTGAACAGAAAGACAAAGGGCAAGGTCACCAAAGAAAGCACACCGCTAGTCTCCCTGCTCATTTTCCTGCACCACCGCTCTGGGATGGCATATACCCTTTCCTGCCCCCGAGTTTCCCCGGATCCCCAAACACCTTTCTTCTCTGAGCCATAGGACCAGTCGTTATCATTGATGTCATCATTATCCTCTTGATCACTCTCAGACTTGTTCATGTTGTTACTATTGGCAATCCTGCAGAGAGTGGGAAAGAGGAGGAAGAGGGGGTTGTCAAGGCTCCCCTGCCCCCCAACTTCTGAGGGACAGTGGGTACCCAGGACCAGGCACAACCCACCCCGAT